CGTCACAGCTCAATTCCTCGCCGCCATTTTCCCTCTGAGTGAGCGAACCTAGTAGTTTTACTGACCTTGAGTAAAACTACCAGGTTCGCTGAATATTTAAATATTTAAAAGAAAAAGTATTTAATCTAGCATTAAAGAAATGTTTTCTTTCGGTGAATTTTTGTAAATATTACATTTTTATGTCATAAGTAATCCTATGTAGTGATTTTTTTTTTTTGGCTTTGATTTTATGTTTTCTTAATTGTTGTAAAAATCGTTGGGTATTTAAAAATTTGATTCTATTAAATACCCTTTGCTGAAAGAAAGGCTTTCTTCATTAATTTCTAAATTTTGTTTCCTAAGAAAAGTAATTTTTTTTACAATATTTTTACATTTACATTTTAAAATCCAATCTTTTCTTCGAGCGTCCTTTGGAAAAGTATGAAATGAAATTTTCTTTCCCATCTTCTTTGTGTCAATTAGATTATTGTTGCAAGATGCAACTGCGCATTTTGTACGTGGCATTCTATAGGATTCTATTAATAATTATGTTATTATGAGAAATACTAATAAGAACAAACGAATTGACTGTAACATGTTATTAAAAGTTAAAAAAAATTACTCGTTATAATATTATTTTAGAGACGAATAAGTAGTTGACTGTTAAGATTATAAGGTGAAAATAAATTATCAGGATTTGCAGTATTTTTTTTTTTTTAATTAAATTTATTTATTTAAAGAAATTTTTACTGCAAGTCCTGACAAAGATCTTTACCCTTATATTATTATTATTATATCGTTATATTATTCAAGGAAATACCCACGAGACCTACAAACAAAATTACACAAACATTGTGCTAAAATGTTCTCTAAATATATATAAATCTTAGTTTTTTCTATTTATGTAATATATTTGTATATTACTTAGATAGAGATAGAGATTTTGAATAAAGAATTTAAAAATAATCTTAATATCAATTTCGTTCTTTTCCTTTCAGTTCTGGCCTGTAATTTTCATAGTATTTTATTCTAGATTGATAGCCGTATTTATTTATTTATCTGCTTGAAATTATCTTCAATCAAACGTCAAAAACACATACAAGTATTCTTCTCCATAAATTAAACTAGAAAACCAAAAAAAACCACAATAATGTTGAAATAAGCCTTCATTGATAGGCTTGAAAGAGTAATAGGTAGGTCTCGCAGTCTATTCCTTACGTCACGTTTCAAGTTCCCCCACCACGCATTTCTGAGTGAGCGAACCTGGTAGTTTTACTGACCTTGACCTGTTCCAATCCGTTCCATTTCTCAAACGGAGTTGTCCCAAATTATTAATACCGTTCCAATGCCGTTACTCCAGAATTACAATGTAGACATGGGAGATAGACGATAGTTATCCACTATCGATGGAAAATTAACGATAGTAACGATAGTTTTCCACTATCTATGAATAACTAGCGGTAGTATCGATAGTTCAGCAACTTCTCACCACAGACTAAAGGAAGGTTTGTTTGCGCTCTATTCTTTGTTCATTTACTTTAAAATGTTGCATAAGCTTCAATTAAATTAATATAAAATATTACATTTAAAATTAACGTTTATGTGAAAGGTAACATGGAGGACTCAGAGGCATTGCGCGGCCAAAATGAAAGTCGGCTGTTCTTTCAGAGAATAAACGAGGGTAGGGCAGCTTTCAGGCCCAGAGTGACGGCATGCAAAGACACGAACGGTACTCTTTTAAGCCACAAAGATGACGTACTAAGGAGATGGGTACAACACTTCAAAGACGCATTAAACAGAGGAACGGTGCCTGGAGAAGTAGGAGTAAAGAAGGAAGACTCCCTGAATTCTATTGAACCCCCGGATGAGGAGGAAATGGAAAACACCCTGAGGAAATTGAAAAATAAAAAGGCGCCATGCCCGAATGGAATCCTGTCAGAGCTGTTGAAATGTGGAGGTGAAGAACTCAAGAAAGCTCTGCATGATTTAATGCTGACCATCTGGGTGAGGGAAGCTATGCCTACGGAATGGGCAACAGCCATTATCTGCCCAATACATAAGAAAGGATATCAAACAGAATGCGCTAACTATCGAGGAATCTCACTCCTTTCGTGTGCTTATAAGCTGCTCTCTAACATTCTTTTTGAGAGGATCCTCCCGTATTCTGAAAAGGAACTGGGAAAATATCAGGCTGGATTTCGACGAGGACGCTCAACCACTGATCAACTGTTCTCTCTGAGGATGATCATAGAAAAGACTATGGAGCGTAAGGTAGTCACCCACCATTTATTCCTGAACTTTAAAGCAGCATACGACAGCGTTGATAAAGCACAACTATACTGTGCCTTGGAGGAGCTAAGCATCCCTCAGAAGCTCGTACGCCTAATCAAGATGACCATGGACAGCTCGATATGTAGAATACGCGGCGGTTCTGATGCCTCCGAAGAGTTTAAAGTGAGCAGTGGGATTTGGCAAGGGGATGCCCTCGCCTGTCTATTATTCAACTTGGCAGAGGAGAAAGCTGTAAGAGACTCCGGTATTCAGACCAGCGATATAATCTTCAATCGCCTGACACAGCTTCATGGTTTTGCTGATGATATTGACATGATAGGTAGGTCTGAACGAGCTCTCAGAGAAGCGTTTATAGCCCTTGAAGCAGCGGCAAGACCACTTGGTCTAGAAGTCAACGAGAAGAAAACTAAGTATGTGAGAGTTGGTGGTGAGGTGGATCTGAACTCTCCATTTGAGGTAGGTTCTTTTAAGTTTGAGAGAGTGAAAAGTTTAATAATATAAAAAATTTTTAAAGGATTCGTTTTGGCTTCTTCGTTGCAACATCATTTATATCTGTCGAAACAGAATTATTAAGAAGAAATCAATATAAGTCAATTAATAATTACAGGCAAAGTATTTTACAAATTACAATATTTTTTTTCATTTTTAAAAATAATATATATTGTTACAAATGCTTTTAAAAAAATATTTACGAAACAAAAACAGTAGAAACGTAGATGCTACTTATGGTAATGTACTATTGTATGTTACGATAAAAATGTAAAAAAGTTTCATGCACTCCTGTTTTTAGTATAATTAAGATTATACCAAATTTTTGTGTTTATGGTTTTAAACATTTTAGAACTAGAATTATTGAATATTTTCGTAAATAAGTTTATTTTTAAAATAGTGAAAGAAATAATAAAAATAAGATAATTATTTAAATAACAGGAGTTGCCATTTCTCCGTTCCTTATTTAACCGGCATCCCCACTGCTTATCGATCAAGCTGGAACAAAATTGGAACTGGTTTGGGACGAATTGCCAACTGTTCCTTCCCACTCCTAATCGATCCAGCTGGAATAGAATTGGAACTGTTCTGGAACGAATTGCCAACCGTTCCTCCCTTCTTCTTATCGATCCAGCTGGAACGGAATTGGAACTGGTCTGGAACGATTTGCCAACCGTTCCTCCCCACTCCTAATCGATCCAGCTGGAACAGAATTGGAACTAGTCTGGAACGATTTGCCATTCGTTCCTCCCCACTCTTTATCGATCCAGCTGGAACAGAATTGGAACTGGTTTGGAACGAATTGCCAACCGTTACTCCTCACTCCTAATCGATCCAGCTGGAATAGAATTGCCTACTGTTTATCCGTTCCTTATCGAACTGGCATCCCCACTCCTTATCGAACCGGCGGTATCGATAATTCTCAGTCGGTGGAACAGTTCCGTTCCGTTCCACAGTGAGATTAAGTTCCCGTTCCCGATCCATTTGAATTGACCCATCTCTACTTCTAGTCCTTCCTCAACTGCTACTTCACTACTGGCAATGAGAACCAGATCGTCAGCAAAAGCAAAAAGTTTTATTGACGATAGTCTCACTTTTAGTAGCATTATAAAGGCTATATAAAATAATGGTACGGATAGGGCATCCCCTTACCGCACGCCATATTGCACTTCAAACTTGTCTCCTACTGTGCTGCCTATCATCGCTGAAGGAAGTGCGAAGCATAGTCATCATTATCAAGTTTATTAATTTAATGGAGATTCCATTCTCTCTAAGGATTTCCAACATATTAGACCTGTTAATACTATTAAATACCTTATTAAATAAGCTATACATAAGATGTGCAGGTATTTTTATGATATTATAATAAAAAAAAGTGAAAAAAATATTGACCCAAATGTAATGCAATAAATTACAGGTTGGAGATAAATTTGACAAGTGGTCCAAGATCTTATGATCACGCTATAAATACCACTCCGAGGATTGACTTGTTCATACTAAAATCTACCTTTAATTAGATTGCGATTCATGGTTTCGGGAAACTCACAGCTTGTTTTTTAAGATAGCTTTCGACCCGTGCTCTAAATGGATGAACAAAGGAATTATCCCCAAAAGGTCCTTTTGAGTTGAGGTCGCGGATTTACTAGACAATTTGGCCTACTTTTTGAGACACTCGACCATAATCGGGATTCCATTTATGGTATGATCATGAGATCTTGTGGAATGACCTATCAAAGTGGAGTGAAACTTTTACAGTAGTATCCTTTTATGGCCCATTGTACATTACTCATTTTGGCCATTTTTTTACTTGATGACTAACTCCCTGTGATCGCCGATATACTTTGCTTGATATTAGCTTTCGATTCTTGAAACACATGATAAAATTTCTAAACCCAAATGCATGTGTTTGTTGGTAGAAAAATTTAAAATGTAAAAAAAAATAATACTATAATTTTAAAAATTCACCCTTATTTCAAGAGATCTCATGAAAATTCAGGTTGTTGGTACAGTGTAGTGGTCATTAAGAAAATAATACGTACAATCTGTCGGATACTGCAGGATTTCGAAGTATGAATTACAGGTTATAATTTTTCTTAAAGTAATTTAGATATAACTAATAAAACGTGTCTTAATTTATTTTATTATTTAATTCAAGGTTGTGAAGAAATAAACTTTGGCACATAATAAATGTTACAAGAAGAATCCATATCAATCTACTGCCAATAATCAAATAATACAACATGAGCTGGATCGTTCGTTTAAAACTTGGGAATCATTTGAAACTTTTGAAAACACAAAATGTATGTCCATTTGCAGAGAAAACAGTAATTGTTAATGGTATTCGTGAAAGAACCACCAGACATTATACAATATATTCAAAACTGATCACATCTGATTTCGCTGAAAGTTCATCACCTATCTCGATTAGTCATATTCTTTCTTTCTTCTGGAAAAAAAAAAAAGGATCAAAATGCCCTCCTCCTAAACCAGAATGTACTCCCTGCCCTCCTCCCTGTCCACCTCCCTGCCCTCCTCCCTGCCCACCACCCAAGCCAGTATGTCCACCTCCATGTCCACCTCCTAAGCCAGTATGTCCACCTCCATGCCCACCACCCAAGCCAGTATGTCCACCTCCTAAGCCAGTATGTCCACCTCCATGCCCACCACCCAAGCCAGTATGTCCACCTCCTAAGCCAGTATGTCCACCTCCATGCCCACCACCCAAGCCAGTATGTCCACCTCCTAAGCCAGTATGCCCCCCTCCCAAGCCAGTATGCCCACCGCCATGTCCACCTCCTAAGCCAGTGTGCCCACCTCCTAAGCCACCATGCCCACCGCCGTGCCCACCTCCCTGCCCCCCTCCCAAGCCAGCATGCCCACCGCCGTGCCCCCCTCCCAAGCCAGTATGCCCACCGCCATGTCCACCTCCGAAAAAATGTTCGGCTGCTGCAGTCCCCTGCCCACCTCCCCCCAAACCTCCCTGTGCTACGCACTCCCCCAAGCCAGCTAATCTTCCTCCTTGTCCAATAGAAAAAAATGAACTCTGCCCAAATGATTTATCTCTAAAAACAGCAAATATATTGCCATCTTCTACCACTTGTCCACCATCTAAAACCGACAATTCTGTCATTCGCTGTCATGTTGCAACTCCTGGGGTCACCAAGCGGCTTAAGCCAGGAAAACTATCTTCTGAAAAACTTTCTTCGTTTTGCCCTGGCACGACTTCCGACAAAAAATGCCTTCCATACTGCAACAGACCAGACTGTCCACAGCCGAGGTGTCCACATTGAAGATAATTAGGAAATACAGAAATGTTCTCAAATTAAAGTATGATTTATTTTACCGTATTAATATAAAAACATTGACATATTTTTTAAATTTTACTTTTTCCTTCTCCCATCTGAAATAACATTCATAACTTAAGTCTATCTTGTACAACTGTTCATGTGCGTCATTTTAGGAGAAGAAGGCGAGAATAGCATCGAATTATTTGTTATTAGACTATTTACAATTATTCATAAACACAAAGGGAATGTTTTGTTTCATTTAGAAAAAGCAGGAAAAATGACTTATAAATAATATTCCGCATTTTTATAGTGAACTAGAACGGATTAATTTATTTATAGTAAGTTAGAATAAGGGTTACACTATCATTTATTCAGAGGTCGCTAAAGGGGAACATGCTAAAGAAGGAGCCGGCTTTGTTATTAAGGAAGAATTACACAAGAAAATAGAAGAATGGGAGGAGGTCTCGCCTAGCCAATTTCCAGCTATCTCTGGGTAAAATCATTATAGTACAAATTTATAATCCAACTCAAAATTCCTCTACGGTAGAAAAGGAACAATTTTACTCGGACCTAGAAAGAATAACAAGTTCAAAAGGATGAATAGGAATATTAACTGTTATGGAGAATTCAATGCAAGGACTGGATGGAATTTTAGAGATGCGCATAGAATCATGAGGAAATCATGGAGGTGAAAAGACAAAGAATGAAAATGGTCAAAAATTGATAGATTTTTGCGTTGATAATAACATGCTTATTAATAACTCCTTCTTTCTCCATAAGAGGATTCATTAAATAAAATTTTGAGCATAGGGAAGAAACAGTGTTATAGATTACCTTATATTTGAAAAAGATTTCAGATACTGGTTCACAGATATTAAAGTGATCAGAGGTGCTGAAATAGACACGGATCATTTGCTTTTGGTCGCAGACACACAGATCATGGTGTCTGGAAACATTCAAAGCATACGAGAAGATTAACGTCAGAACCCTTGCCGTGGAGAAAAGAAAAGAATATGAGGCATGCCTAGAAGCAAAACTGAAAAAATTAGGGACTGTGGGGACTGTGGAAGAAATCTGGAAGTTTCTAAAAGATAGCATACTTGAATCAGCCAGGTCAGAATGTGGAGTGAAGAAAATAAGCACCAGATATAAGCGGATGAATTCGTGGAGCGACTAAGAGGTCAAAGAAACAATACACAGAAAAAAAAGGCATGGAAGGCATACTTGATGAATGTACGTCACATAACTGGGAAGAGTATGTTATTTGGAGGAATGATACTAAGCGTGTTATTAGAGAGACCAAGAAAAATTCATGGGAAGAATTTGGAAAAAGTCTGAACAGTGACTATAAGGAAAATATAAAGAAGTTCTAGAAAAAAGCAAAAGCACTGAAGAGAAAAACATGCAAAGAGATCAAAAACATGAAAGAGGACATATAATCACAGACCCAGACAAGATCTTGGATAGTTGGAGACAACATTACTCTTCACAGTTCTCTGATCTCAGACAATCTCCAGAACACGAGGAAGAGACCAATCAAGTGGCTAAAATTTATACTATCTGGGAGGATGATGTAGAAAAGGCTCTGAAAAAACTGAAGCTAAGCAAATCAGGAGGCAGAGATGGCATTTTTGCAGAGTTCGTTAAATATGTAGAAAATGAAATGATAAAATCACTGCAAGCACTTTTTCAGAAGATATGGGATGATAAGGTTATTCAGAAGAACTGGGAATACAACATCATAGTGCCAATTCATAAGAAAGATAGCACAACTGAATGTGGCAACTACAGGGCTTTATGCCTGTCCCAAGTGACCTAGAAAATGTACACCAATATATTAGAAAACAGGTTAAGGCCACTGAGAGAACCAGAATTGGAAAAAGATCAAGCTGGTTTCCGACCAAGGAGGCAAACGCAAGGCCACATATTTGTTCTCAGAAATATTGTAGAAAAGGCATGAGATAGAAATCGAAGAATAAATATCGCTTTCTTAGACTCGAAAACTGCCTTCGACTCAGTACTCCGATGTGAAATATGGAAAGCACTTAGAAGAAAGAGTATTCCCGAGGACCTTCTGGCATCAATAAAATCAACATAAGAAGGCCCCAAATGAATAGTGCGTATATGTGGCCGAGAGACGAACTCCGATGTAGCGAGATGTTAAAAAAGGAGACAGCTTGAGCCTATTATTGTTTATCATCTTTATGGATGAAATCCACAAAATAGGCTAAAGAAGAACTGCTTGTAGGTATGTGAAACATGAGAATAATTCAAGTGCATGGATTCCTATATGCAGACGATATCGTGCTGGTGACCGACTCTCAAGAAAAACTGCAACAGGCCGTTATAGAATGGTAGGAAGCCAAAGCAACGGATCCATGATTTAATTGTTGGGGGGAAGGGGCTTCAGCCCGAAATATTTTTTTGTATGTATATATTAAGATAATTACTGAAATTGTGTTTAATTGATTCTTGAAATCCTATTAAATGTAATTAGATGAACAATAATGCATTTAGAGATAATTTTTTTCATAAAACATGGTTATATTTTACCATTTTGGGGAAGGAGAGCTTCAGCCCGAAAGCCCCCTCCCCTCCTGTAGATTCCTGTGGTAGGAAGAACTCGCTCTTAAAGGTAAGAGTAAAGTCATGACTGTAGCAAGAGATAAGGAGGATGTGAGTAATATAAGAATGACATGCAATGGAGAAGAGCAGGAGAATGTAGCTACTATACGTACCTTGGAACAATTTTTAACAAATCTCGGAAAATAGAACAAGAAGTTTCCGAAAGGATAAAGAAATCAAACAGTATATATTACCAGATTTGCAACACAAGGAAAGAATGTCAAACTCCACATCTATGAAGCAGTATATCCCCCTACATTATTATATGGCCGCGAAAGCTGGGTCAGCCAAGAGAAGCACTTAAGCAGGATTACGCTCCTCCGCGCTGAAAGGCACAAAGGGAGGAAGAAGAAGTTAGGGGAAGTGGAGGGGTTTTGGTGCTCCTTGAAATTATGTCTAAAATTGTATCCAGATGTGTTGTGGTATTTCTGTTTATTTTGTTTATCTGTGTGGTTTTTGGTCACGTACAAGATATTTAGTCAACCAATTTGTCAGGTCAGAAATGCAAATTTAATCTACTATTACATATTTGTTACTGTGAATGATCTAAGCGAAATATTTAAACAATCACAATATGTCATATATATATATATATATATATATATATATATATATATTATATATATATATATATATATATATATATATATATATATATATATATATATATATATTTAATGCATATTCATTCGTTCAGCTATAAAATATGACCATCTTATGAAAAAAATATTTTAAAATTATCTCTAAAAGTTGTATTGTTATTTTTTAATAGGGCTTCAAGAGTCACTTAATCTTCATTTCATATAGATAGTTAGTTTCTTTATTTTTCAAAATTAAATCCTGAATCCGCTACTGACCTATGGTCAAGATTGACTTTGACCGTCTTACAGCGGTCTTCCTGGCGCAAGTTCGGATCTTTTTGACTTTAGGTACACCAGTTATTTTTAAATAGGAAAAGTATCTGTTAAAGAAAAATATCAATTAATGAATCAATGTCATTCTTCTGTTATATACACATCTATTAACAGACTATACTGAAACTTGTACAATTTTTACAAATTTAAAATGCTTTTATTTTTATTTGGGTGGCCAAAAAAATTTAATTGATTGTAGTATTCTTTCGAACAAGCTCTTCTTATCATATTTCCTCCTCCAAACAAATTAACACAAAGAAGAGTCAAGATTTTCCCCTCAATCCTCAGGGTTGGGCTCAAGTAATCCAATCAGTTTTTTTTTGTTTTTTTTATGATGTTTTTAATTCTTTCCTGCAAAACTTAGTAGTGGCATAGTCATTCGCCCATGCATAAAAGAACAAAATGCTTTTCCTTAATGCGTTTTGTTAAACCATGTTTCGATGTACGCTCCAATATCTTGTCGGAAACTTCGCATATTGCATATGTACTCTATTACTATTCTATAACAGATATTTTCGTTTAAAAATAACCCGCTAGTCCTCTTCTCCGAGCTACCATATTAAAAAGGCTTGATCCAGAGCCACCTTCCAGTTAAAAATTTATTTCTTAAACATTGCGAAGTTTGTACTCACCAATCGATGAAATTTATCCTCAACAAGGACGTAAGTTGCTATTGTTCTCATCAGAATTGACCTTATCCGTCATCGAATGCAGTGCAGGTTGACTACTTTTTTTTAGGGCGGGGAGGGGGTTGTTAATGCCAGAGTTAAAAGACGTTTGGATTATTTTATCAAATTGTCTTCTATCTGGTTACCGGGAAACGGGGTGCTGTGCATAGACGTTAGTCCCCTCAGAACCCCGCCCTTTAGGTCGTGACTACTTGCTCAACTGTCTCCATAACCCCACAAGCAGGGAAGATTCAAAGGACTGTGGAGGTTTAATCAGCACGGCTGTGTGAACTACATAACTCCTAAGATGATGTGGTAACAAAAGAAACTTATCCTTGTTGAGAGAGCTGAAGGGACTCTACTCCAAGAATTCTAGAATGTTGGGACCAGAAAGCAGTATAGATTCAGAAAATCAAGGAATTAACAATTATGAGATCCTTAGAGATAATATGAAATTGAATACTTTTATATTTTGAAAGACTTAATCAAATTTCGTTCACTAATTATTTATCTCGTTCAAAACTTAATTTATCTAAGACAAACATTACTTGTGAGGAATGTTTCATAATCTCATCCCTCCCCCCCCCAAAAAATAATCAGTAAGGCCCTCCTCCCTCTCCACAGGAAAAAAACAATTAATTATGGTTTGTTCATTCCTTAAGCAAGCAAAAGTTGACAGCTCTGCAATGATCAATGACATCTTAAAGAATAGAATAAGAGAAATCTAAACCACTACAGCCTATGAAGGGTCTTGGGTTCAGAACTGTTCCTTGGTCAATGGTTGTGCAAGGTGATGTTCAATCGCCAGGTTTTCTTTCATATTTAAATAGTTAATTAAGGGTACCCCCTTTACAGATGCTGAGCATACCCCATGAGGGTCCATCCATGGCCAACAGAACATAATAATTAGGTTACCTGCCATAGAATAGCAGGCGGATAAAATAGGAAAAACACTATGAAAAATACAATGCTATCACACTGTATCAGTATGACTATGTGCAAAGAAAAAAATCTGCACATTTTGCTCCTAATATCAAATAAATGTATTTTTAGTACAGACAGGTTAATAAAGGCTTGGTGTCCTATTTTTAAGGACTAGTATATTATTTTATTAAAAAATACATTACTTTAAAGTAACTTAACAATTAAATATTAAAACAGTTTTGTATTTTAAATATATGCGAGTAAGTTTTATAACTCTTTTATTCCATTCGTTTTATTAAGTTTTAAAAAAAATTAAATCCATCTTTATGTTGAGAATATAATATAGAGGGGTATAGTGATAGTGATAGAAAGAGGTACCAAAGAGGTCATGATTAAGGAACAATGAAGGAAAGACTTTGATGTTTATTTTTCTAAAATAGTTTTGAACTACAATAGTATTATTTACAACTACATTATAGCAAGTAGGTAAATCTGGTAAACTACTACTGCCCAGTTCTGGGTTTTGGAAATTACAAATTAACTGTGGTAAAATTATAACCTGTAATCATGAAGATAAAAATGTAATTAAGGTGAACTTTTGATCTGATACTAATGGTCTCTAATAGTTTTTAGTGGTGAATGTTTTCGACACAGAAATATGCATAACCATCCAATTAGTCTAATTTAGGAACACTTTCTTACAAAATCAACAGGCCAATATAAAACCTTTAAGGTATTATTTTTTTTTACTACATACTTTTAAAAATGTAATGAATTAAAGTAAAAAAAAAAAAATTAAAACTGAACTCAAAATAGCAACTAATTTTAATTTTATAATATATAACAATACTGAACAAATAGAAAATATAACTACAAGAATACTGATTAAAAAGGTTTGTATTTTAATCCAAAAATACATAGTAGACTTAACAAGATTCATGGTTATACCAATTTACTTTGCATCAACATCAACGTTTAAAACATATCCATAGCAAATAACAAGTTAAATAAATTATAGAACATCGACAAACATAAATAAAACAATTGTGCTTTATTGATTATTACACATATAGTAATTACTATTACAATCTGAAACAGCCAAATATATAATTATCAGGTGTATTAAAGCTGACTAGACAGGCCTTTCGAGTTGAAGCTTCTTTAGCTCTTTAGGTTTACTGATCCTTAAGTTTTGTGAAATTAACTTAGCCAGATATAAAGAGAAGCCGGAGAGTTGAGGACCAGAAAATGGTAATCCAAACAATAAAGCCAATTTTGTTCGCAAAGAATCCTTTGTTTTATCAATAAGGCCTTCATCATCTGGCATAACCTAAAAAAAATATTCAAAGGACCAATTAACTGGGAGATTATAATTAATTAAATTGAATATAATATATCATTACTAAAACATCATCCCATCCCTTAGGTACTAATTTAGAGAAACATTTTAACAATAGTAGCTCTGTTTTGATTGTTTTTTATAAAGAACTATTAGAATCAATGGCAGTTAGTCTGTGGTACAGACTGCTTTTTATAAAATTATCAACATCCATCTGAAACTTGGTAAATAACTTCATCTGATCAAACCTACAAATATTTTATTAACAAAAATTCTTAGAATTGGGGCATTTTTAATCAGCAGATGGGCAAACTTTGTCTATTTAATTATGTACTAAAAACTCATGAATACCCATTTGCTTTCGACTTGAATCGTAAGATAATATAATTACCAAGTCTAAAAAAAAAAAGGTGGCCTACAAAAATATTGGTCCATTTGGCGTTATCTCCACCCCAAAAAAGTTATAATAATGGTGTTATATAGGCCAAATGTCCCAATATTTTTATAGGCCACCTCTTTTTTTTTTTTTTTTTTACTTTGTAATGATATTATCTTACGATTCAAGTGGAAAACAAATGGGTATTCATGAGTTTTTAGTACTTAAGTAAATAGACAAAGTTTGCTGATCTCCAGATTGAAAACACCCCAAAGCTTTTTACGAAGTTTCAGGTGGATGTTAATAATTTGATAAAAAGGGGGTCTGTACCACTGACTAAGTTTATTACCATAGAAACAAAAACTATCATAACCATTATGACCTTAAAAAATTAGTGAGGACAGGTTGACTAGACAATGGTTTAAGGTGTTACACTAAATAAATACATGGAACTATGGTCATGAATTGATACCCATTCAGAAGAAAGAAAAAGGTCTCCATAATTTACTAGTAGTTGAAATTTTTTTTCACTACTGCGAGCGAATAGCCAACTTCTAAAATTAGTACCTTCGCAATCACATATAACGATGGAGGATTTCTTCCTCTAATTTTAACAATTATTTGTAACATTTGGCAGAATACATAAACTATAGATAACTGCTGCTGAAAGCTAAAAATCATCTATTATTCTGTATGAACATATTATTTCTGAAAGAGCTCCAGGTGCAACCTTTGCTTCTCTACAGTGGGAAACTTCAATTTGTCCAAACTGTTCAATACATGGACATAGCTTTGAAAGAAACAAGTTGGATTGAAAATAAAAAAGAGGTAGTAAATCGAATAGAAATAATACAATCTATATACTTAGTTTAGTAGGGCAACTCAAAACAGAAAAATTGTACGCAGAAATAAAATAACTAGAATTGAAAAGTTGTTGCAACAAAACCTTAGACTCTTGTTAGCTGAAGAGCCGAAGTGGTCAAGAAAGTTAAGAGGCCTGCAAAAATACACCCGAGCTACAGCTTTTGGGGGCAGAATGGCTGGGAGGGCAAATGTGTGTGTAAATCACTCACTGCCTAGCAATCTGATAAACTTTAAAGATTGAGAGTTCGATTCCCAGTGCCAGAAGAACTTTTAACCCTGGCAATAATCTATTTCAAGAACATCTACAACTAAAAACTAAATTAATGATGTAGAGATGATTGACCGTGATATGATGAGAAAGAGTTGATCGGGGGGTGCGGTCAAATAAATACTAAATTTTGGCCAAAAAAAATTAAATAATACTATTTGTATAATTTAGTATTTATTTGACCGTACCCCCCGATCAACTCCTTCTCATAAAACTAAATTAATTTCAATACTCATGTTTAATAACCACTACCAATACCTTCAAAACCTATTATGGCCTTGTGGATTTTCAATATTGATTCAAAACTAACATTTCTGTTGTATGATACTATTATTACAGATATTATTCCCATTGATATCGTCTGACAAGACTTAAATGATGAATTTAAGGTACTTTTAATTTAGTTTATTTAAGTATATATTTCAGTGTATGTGTGTTTGTCTACAACACACTAAAAAAATGTCAATGTTTTATAAATATTCTTACATATTTAATTAATGAATAAATCAAAATGCATTAATTACCTTATCTACCACATGCTTAGCTATTAATCCATCTCCTCCAACATAAAATGTAGAAAATCCATCATACCACCTAAAATAGAAATTAATCATAACTACACCAATATAGATAAAATATAAACATATATAATAGACGATAGTTGCATTTGCTTCCACAAGTGTTATTTGAAAGGAAAAAAAAAAAAAAATTCACACATCAAAATTTAAAAGAATACAATGTCAGCAGTAGAGTTGTTTTGATTTAAGGGAATTTCATTTTTACCTATATCTTATGAACAATTAATTATTAATAAGGATGAAAAATGGTCCGGATGTGCAGTCAAAAATTTCTTTCTAGCTGAGTTTGATGATACCTTGACCCAAATATGTTGTTCATTATCAGATTAAAGACTAGACAAGTTGAAACATCGGCAAACTCACTAAAGTAATTTTTTATTGCATATCTAGACCATTTTTTATCCTTATAATTTCAACAGTCGACTTTATACCCATCGTTTACTTATATATATATATATATATATATATATATATATATATATATATATATATATATATATATATAATAATTTCAACAGTCCCTTATATATATATATATATATATATATATATATATATATATATATATATATATATATATATATATATAATGAATGATACATCGAGGAAAAGTAGTTAAAATATCAGGCAGGTATTACCCTCATTGAAAATGCTGAATTTTCAAAGTTTCTTCCTCAAGGGTACCTTTAATTTGGTTTATTCAAAATAATTAAACCTTTCACATAATAACTAGTGATAAAAAAGGGTTAAATATAAATGAATTTAATAAATAAACAAGGAGAAATAAGGGCTAGTCAGTTGGTTGAGAACCAATGGAAGCACCAAGCTTGCTTCATTGCTTGATTTCCAAGAGGTTACAATTACTTCCAAACCTAACGCATGCTTAATACGCCTATAGTGTAAGTGAAAGAACCACATGCACCAAAGTATATGCATGTTTTAATAAGTCCTATGGTATAAATTAATATTTAATTAGATAACTTATGTCAATATGAATATTAAAATGTGTGTATTTTTATTTATCGTTAAAATAAAAATACATACAATAATAAGGTTCTCTGCCAGAGCTACTTTGTAGAACAGTAGTTATCAAAATTTTTTGTTATGGCTCTCTTATAAATTTAATAATGTAGGTGAGTGGGCAAAACATAAGGTAATTAATTGTTTTAAATGATTTTTTCATACTGTCTCTATAATTTTTACTTTCATTTATCTATATATGAAAATAGCTATTTCTACCCAAATTATGGTGGTAGTTTGAATATGGAATAAGTGATGGAACAGGAGTTGTTTGAATGAATTTGTGGACGAGGATTTATGTTTAATTTAATATTTATTTCTTATAATCTTCTTCTTCTTCTTTCACTTCCACCCATTTTGCCTCTCAGCGTTGGGGTGCTTCCATCCATCAGTTATCCAGGCATCCCTTTTCACGGCATGGTTCCTCATCTCTTCTAGGGTCTTCCCCTCTTCGTCTTCCAATCGTTTTCCAAATGACTAACGTATGAGGTTCTTGGTCTTATAATGCTGTTTCTAGTATATTAAGTTTTCCTAATCATCATTAAAACAATTTGTGGGTTTCATTTTTTTTTTTTTAATGTTAAGTAATTCCCATACATATTACTACACTAAGGCTCAAAATCAGTTTTGCACCAAATATAAACTCCTGTCTATGGGGTACTGTTGAATTCAGGATTTCACAAAATTGCAAACTCCTTTATTCTAAAATGAATACAGTCGATATAAACATTTCAAAACTGGAATAACGGTGAGTCGGAAGAGCAAGACGGGATACATTGTTTTGAAGATTACACATTTGGACATACACCTCACAGATTTACTGTTCAGCAAAAAAGATACTTACAAAAACTACAATCTGGGTACTATTCTTCATCATGCCTATCATGCCATTTTCTACCTAACAACATACCTCCTAATTGCCACAACCATGACAGGTGCGGATGAAGATTTGAAGACCAAAAATAAAAACAAAAAATTGTTAAATTTTAAATTAGGTTTTATTATTATTTGATTACTTTGAAAACAATTGTTGTTGTTGTTAATTATTTTATCTAGCCTGATGAGAGACCGAAACCGGTTGCGCAAAGAGAGAAAAATAAAGAATTACACAACAGGAAGACAAGGTCTTTTTTAGTACATTATATTTCATATCTGTAAAATGTTGCTTCTTCAGAAAAAATATTCTTCCAAGCAGGAGTTTCTTCCTTGAATTTCTAAATGCTTCAAAGTTTCATCAGCATTGCAGCATTCATTGCCAAGAAGACATCAATACCAATTTAACATAATAGCTTATAATTGATTCTTAACGTTTCTGAAAAAATTAAACCCTACCATTGCTTGTATTATTTTCACTAAAACATAAATTTTAGAATTGGGATTAGATGATAGGGACACTAGGTTTAGTGTTAGGTCACCTAATACCAATAACTGCATTTTAGTTTAGTTAATTTATTAAAATGCATCCCAGATCATAGAAAAAAATAAAATGAAATAAAAATGGTTCATAATAATTCATTGTATTTTTTCAGAAAACAAATGCACTGTAAGGAGATAATTTTTATAACTAAACTGAGAGTGACTCATAAGTCAAGATTCTGTTTAAACAATTAATACAAACTTAAAGTCCATTAAAAAAGATTTTTTTTAATGAGGATATTGTAGTCCAGTAAGAGGCTGAATATTTTCAATTGATTGCAATTTTTTTTCTTTAAAATTAAGTTAAACCAACTTACATTTCTTGATTTTCCTGAATTTCTTCTTTCAGTTTCCAAATTTTAAACCTCCAAAATGTCAGAAAAATCTGAAACAATACATTAAAATATATACTATCTGATAATAAAATAATAATAATAATACATTTACTCACTAATGACTAATAGTAGAATCAAAAAAGAAAGTTCTCAGTTTATTTTATTAAATTGATGCTTTAGGACAAGAACATTTAATTTAATATGTTGGATTGTTGTCTGAGATTAATATTAAAGTTTTTCTCAATTCACATTATAACAGATAATATATTTGTACAAAATATAAATGAATATATATTTCTATTAATTTTCTATCAACGATATAGAAGCCTGATTTTACCATTTCAACTTTAGATTGCGGTATTGTATTGGTATTTTGCCAAATGCAGCAGTTCAGTGAGGAGGAGGATAGAGGTCGAAAGTACGAGATCTAGTGGGACGGGATTGAATAAAGTATTTAAATTGTAAGCTGTGAAAAATATAAGAGGTTCTAATGATTTGGTACAGAAAGGTAGCTAGGAAGCACTGACGTTGATAGGATGGATAAAACCACTTCAACTCGGTGTAATACTGGGTAATATATGTATCTCTTGAGATTCTGAAAACAAAACGTAATGCCCAATTCATTAGGTGTTTAAGTTTGGCCTCAAAATCTCCCAAGAGTTCACTGTACACCATGCAGCCATAGTGGAAGTGAGGGAAAACAAGAGAGGAAACTAGGAGTTGACGGGACTTATATGGAAGGAGATAACGAAGATGATTAAACTGTTTTAGGATGGAGATAGTGAGACAGGAAATTTGGGAGATGTGTGGTTTCCAGGAGAGGATTTGATAAAAAGAGATAGGTGAGTTGTTCAGGAGTAGATTGAGAGATACCGGGAAGGATTTGAGGAGTGATGATGATCCGATCAAAATGGCTTTTGTCTTCTCGGCATTCATGGTGAGCTTGTTGAAGTTTGCCCAAGCACTTATTCTATTAATATCTTCTTGGAGTTTTAGAATGGCATCTGAGGAATCGGTTGGATTAGAGGAGAGGTAAATTTGAATGGTGTCAGTATACAGGTGGTATTGACAGTAAAATTAATTGTTCTATAGCTCATGACCGAACGTTATTGGACAGAAAGAAAAGAAAAGATTAGTATGAAGCTTTAAAAAAGGTACAAAAAATAGTTGACAAATCTGTTATTATTAAAAATAAGATCAAATTTAGAGGGACCCTAAATTCCCTTGATGAATTGCGTTCCATTTTAAGTCCACCAGATTTTCAAAAATGTACTGATGAAAATTTACTGCCGGATGATGATAATGCTGGTTAAAGAAAGCCAAAGACAAACTAGAGTCATTTCGTTTTCGCCCAAGAACATCTTCTCACTGATAATAATCCGCTCAAGATAAAATCAACTGGTCTTATAACTCAGGATGCATATAAGGAAAACGTTTCGTCTAATTCAAGAAATCATTTTGAGAATGCCTCACAATTACAGAAAGAAGAACAATTGGTGGACATTTTAGCTTACAATATTTGTGGCTTAAAAAGTAAAAAGGATGATTTAATTTTTTTTCAATATATTAAAAAATTTGATATAATATGTTTATTCGAGACTTTTGTTGAGAATAAGGATCAGCCAAGGTATGAACATCTACTTAATGATTTTTATACAATATGGGTGATGGCTATAAGAAATGCTGCTTATGGTAGAGACTCAGGCGATAGTTTATATGGTGTGAATTTAAAAAGTCCTTTTAAAAACTATATACAATTTTGTGAAACCTCGAATAAACATTTAGTCATGTTAAGTTTAGATAACTATGAAGTTTATGTTATGCCTGTTTATTTAAACTGTAATAGATAGAGAAGGGATTATAATAGCTTATATGAATTCCTCTCTGAGGTTCATAATTTAAATTTTTGTTTGATTGGGGATTTTAATTGTAATGTGTCAAGGCAACAAGTATTGTCGAAAAAATATATATTATTACACTTTATGTAGGAATTCAAGGGACTCTTGTTTAAATATAAGTGGTAAAAAAGTATTAGAGCTTTGTAAAAATTTTAATTAGGCTATATTAAATAGTCATATGAAAACTGATATAAAAGGAGAATATACATATTTTTGAGCCTCAGGAAATTCTATTATTGACTAAGCTGTTGTAAATATGAAGTTGCTATCAGTAGTAAGAAATTTCACTGTTGATTATCAAATTTTTTCGGACCACATGCAGATTATTACTTCTTTCAAAATTAAAAATAATTGAACAGTCTACTTTACCACTTCTCCCAAAAATTAATTGGTTGAAACAGAATGATTTAGTTTATCATTCCAGGGTGAATGGTTTAGTTAACTGTTTATCTGTAAATGAGCATTCGGTAGAAGATTTGATAGACATTCTCTCAAATATCATCAAGAGGTCTGCTAATTATAATCCTTATCCAAGGTCAGTAAAGTAAAAATCCATAGTTTGATATGGAGTGTTTCCAGGCTGGAAAGATGTCATTATAATTTTAAAGTTATTTAGAAAAACTTCGTCCCACCATCATAGATTACAGTATTTAAATTCAAATAGCACTTATAAAAGTAAATGTTTATTAAAAAAGAAGCAATATTATATAGATTGTGTCCAGCATCCAAATAAGGTTAGTAACAGTAAAGAGTTTTGGGAAATTATAAAAGTATTTAGAAAAAGTAATTACTAGTCTATGGGTAATATATCATTTCAAGATTGGCTTATGCACTTTAAAAATCTGTACAACGCTCCGTTAATTTCAAACAGAATTTTATACGTTGAACCTAATATTACTAATGCTATTTTAGATAGACCCTTCTCTCTTGGTGAGTTGAAAGCGGTTTTGGGTAACTCCAAAAATAATAAGGCACCAGGAAGTGAAAGGATCCCTTATGAATTTTACAAGTATACTCCCAATTCCTTTTTAAATATATTATTGGCTACATTTAATAGAATTTTTGAAATGGTGTATCTCCCTTTAACATTTAAAAAATCCATTATTTTCCCAATATATAAAAAAGGGGATAAAAATTTGGCTTCTAATTACAGGGGAATCTCCTTCATTAATGCAATTGCCAAGTTACATACGGGCTTGATTTTGGCTAGATGTCTGGACTGGATTGATGAAAACAATATAATTAAAGAAGCTCAGGCTGGTTTTAGAAAAAAATATTTAACAATCGATAACATATTCACATTAACGAGTCTAATTAAAGTAAAATTACAAAAAAAAAATGGAAAAAGTTAATGCATTTTTGTAGATTTTTCTGCAGCATTTGATAGTGTCGATTGTTATAGTCTACTTTATAAATTATATCAGCTAGGATTTTCATCTAAATTAATTAATTCAATTAAAAGTTTGCTTAGCGACATAAATGCTTCAGTTTGGGGTTTGGATGGTTTGACTAAATCATTTAGTATGGTATCAGGTGTAAGACAAGGTTGTTTGCTTATTCCGATTCTATTTTCGTTATATATAAATGATTTGGAAGAGAATTAAGATGGTGGTATTTGTGTTGAGGGAAATTGTAAAATTAAGCACCTGGCTTTTGCGGATGATATTGTTCTCCTATCTTCACATCCAACGACATTACAGAGTAATATAAATTTCCTAGACCTTGAATCTGAGAATAAATCTCGAAAAATCTAAAATAATGGTCTTTCTCAATGGCGGTAAACCGTCACGTAAAGAAAAATGGTTCATGGGCTCCAAAAGTATAGACGTAGGTCAACAGGAGAAATACTTAGGAATAGTTATCACGCCTACTCTCTCAATGTCCAAACACCTGGCAGAAAAACTGGAGAAAGCCAAGTTGGGTTTAAATATGATTTGGTGCCAGTTCTGGAAAACAAAAACATGGTTCTATCCAAAAAGTTGCAAGTATTTAATTCCGTTAGTAGGGCAGTGATGTGCTATGGAGCACAAATCTGGGGTGGGGTAATTATGAAGCCATGGAAAGACTTCTCAGATTCTTTCTTAAAAAATTATTTAAATTACCAAAGTATACTTCAACACATTTTATTCACTTTGAGACTAAAATAGATCCGTTATTTATCTTCACAATTAAACTCCATTTTGATTACATTATAAAAATTTAGAAAGTCTTTTTCTTGGGAGAGCCTTTTAGGACGCTGAACCTTCTTTCTGTAGGCTTCATTTTTCACTTTTACTGCTTGAGGCACTCAGAATCAAACCTTGGGGCCTTCTAGATTTAGTTTTGTAGCCAAGAGATTCTTCTGCTGCCTGTTTGATTGTGTTGCTGCATCTCTTCCACTGTTCATCGACCATAGAGCTGTCATTAATTACTTCTTCATTAAGTTTCGTCTCCACAGCTTGTTGATACGAATATTGGTGGTCGGAGTCCTTTAGTTTAGCTACATCAATATTCTTCTTTGGGTCGTTGGTGGTGGTTTTTAACCAGCGAAATTCATGATCTCACCACGGCAATGCTCAAATAGTGATCTGTGTCCATATTTGCACCTCTATAAGATCTTGCATTTATCATGTTGGATTTTTGTGACGGGCACTAATGAGTACATAATCTATCTGTGATATTGTTTGCCCATTCGGGGAGATCTATGTTGCTTTGTGGATATTATTTCGAGGAAAAAGAGTTGTTCCATGCAATGTAGCAAAGTTCACCATCTGGAGCCCATTATCATTACTGGTTGCATGCAAGCTTATTATACTATAGAATATTACTAGTTATTAACTATATTTGAGTTCCAAAATGAAGAATGTATAAATTAAAAGAAAGAAGTGAAGTTTTAAGTTAAATTTATAATCATTATTTTCAACTTTACCAAGCAGTAGACATCATTTACAGAGAACACGATTAGAACAAAAATGCTACTTACACGTAATCCAGATATTCCTACAATCCTCCACCTAACCCTAATTGTTCCATCTTCTTCATGTTTAGTCATCTTCATTACTTCAAATTTTACATAAGCAAATTTTAAATGCCCAAGGGTCCTAAGCAGCGCTACCTGTTTTACATAATGGTATATGCCTCTGGAATAAACAAAAGAAAGGAAGTTATTACTATTGATACAAATATTAAATTATAAATAACTAATTACTAATTTTCTAAAATAAATTATGTGTGTATTTATTCTATCAAAATAACATAATAATATACTTGAAGTTTAACAAAAAAATTGAAAAAAATTATAAGCCCAAAGTAGCAAAGAAGCTCTTTGTAACATATTGTTAGAAATAAAACAAATCTGAGCATTGATAAGAAAAAAAGTTTTGCTTGGATTAAGTGAACTATGGCAATTTTATAAATGATTCTTTAATCCTTGTATGCACTGAGGTTAATTTTTGCTATAGATGAATCGGCTTCTATAACATAATGAATATATCAAGCAAGATGATCATCTATATAACCTCAGCAGATAATAGGAAACTCTACATCTGTGAAGATCAGTCAGAGAAACTACCTATCCATAAGTTTAATATTAATTTTTAATAGGATGTATATAAATAGAATAATCCTGTATTTCTATTAAAATAAACACAATTAATTTATAGTAAAGTTTAATTAGTATTAGTTCCTATCTCAAAGGGGGTTATAGTTTATATGCAGAATAATCTAATATTTGCAGTGTACTAATGAGTTTCTTATTTTATTACTAGGGTCCGGATCTGAATTTCTAAATTTTCAATGAAATAGATATCAAAAATCTTTTAACGGTCTTAAAAAATAAGAAACAAGATCTCAAAAACTTACTAAAAGTAGTACAATTATAACATATAGTAAACATATAGATAAATAGTATACAATTATATTTGTAGAGCTCAAACATTGTTAAATGGATTTGATAAAACTGAGTAGGAACATTATGGTTTAATGTTTACTTAGGTACTTAATTAGGTGAAAAAACCATAATGTTTACTTTACAAAAATCTCAAACTCAAAGCTGATTCCATCAATAGATCTCAATCCAGATCTATCAGGAGCGATCGACAGTGAATTATTATGCTTAGTTTAGGAACGACTTACTAGGTTCCAGCAGAAAATTAACACTTGTGCAAGGCACTTGAAAAATAAAAAGAATTGTCGTTTCACCCAGTGTAGAGGCGGATCCTATGTTGAGCTCAGTGCTGAGTTTAAGAACTCGTCCATATGAACAGAAAGTAAACAATATAAATATTTTTTATAAATTGAGACATAACAACACTAAGGTTTCATTCTGCGGATCCATCGACCACCCAAATCCGATGAAATCACTGAATAATTGCTGATTTAATCGATGAACAAAGGAACACGCTGAATTCTTTCGATGAGTTTAGGAACTTACCCAAATATCTGTACGTGGTAAATAATATTTCCTAAATACATAGCAAATATTATCTCAGAATTCAGCTAAATTTTATCATATCTGAATTATTTCAAGAATCAATTGTAACATCTTTAATGTCCTTTTGGTTAAAAATAACAATAAAATGGAATTTTTATTTCCCATAGCATTCATAATGAGTAATTCAATTTTTTAAATTAAAAATTAATAGACCAGAAAAGTAGCCCATACTATGCTGTCAGAGATTTTGTTATGGGAAGGAGCTGTTTTCATTTATTTAAGAATGTTAATAAAGAGAACTATCCATCCGCGTTATATATTTTGTAGACTGTAAAGCATTGAATTAGGTATTCGAATAAAATGAAATGCTATGTGTAAACAGCAGGTCTTTGTGTGAATCAAAGTATGAAATTGATAACTTCCTCAAACCCCATTTTCTTGAATATTTTTACTAATGTTTTCTAGACGAACATTATGAGGGTTTTACTCCTTTTTTTTCTTTTAAATTAATATATTTAGATATTTAGTTACTGTAAAAGCTAGTATAATGTAAAGCAAGTATAATCAAAAATAACTAAAAAGATTTGTTTTACTAAAAAGTTGCAAAGCAGATCTATTTTAGTGTAAAATAGCAAAATATATAAAAAAAGATCCTATAGAATTTGTATTTTAAATGCTAGTCAAGATTGGCATAGATCTGTTTCCCCTTGAACAAAAAAAAAAAGGATAAATTCTTCAAATATGGGGGCCTTATTTATTACTAATCAGTACGATTGTGACAGAACAAGAAAAGAATGTAGCAGTAAGGGTAATTAGCATTAATTAATACAGTTTTCACCAGCTAATCATAGATAAAATGGTAGAATTCATAAGAATTAAGAAACTATATTCACAGCGCTGGTTAAGAATTAATATTTCAGAATAATGAAACATCAGAAAATCAAGGATTGTGAGGTTTTTATTGCAGATTTGCTGAGATTAGTGTGTACAAAAATTGAAGTAAGAAAAATAATTTAAACAAAATGCTAAAATACCTATATGTAAAGATAAAAGACAAATATTCTCACATTAAAATATATAAATAAGAATATTTAATCTACTTACATAGTTCTTGTGCCCCGGATGTTATTTTCGAATATCAAGTTGGGATTGTAGATGGAATAATCATGAGGTTTGATAAAAAGTTCAGGAAGCTATAAAACAGAAATAAAACTAAGAATAGAACTTTAAAATTACATTAGTATAAAATGAATGAACAAATTATAAATTTCAATCAATTTACAGATTTACTAGCCTAAAATTATTAAATTTAAAACGAAACAGTTCTATGATTCAAATTGAAGAAAAACTTGTATATTGAACATAGCAACTTGTTAATTTACAAACCTAATGTACTGTATCATATTTTAATCTATGATAGGAAGAGCAGGTTATCCTCAGTGACTCAAGTGTGATGATCTTAAATATGTTTCAAATTATAATTGTTTACATTCTTGCCATTAGAAATATTAAAAAACACAAGATAATTAGTATTAAATACTATTAAAAATGAGGTTAATTCTTATATAAAATATATCAATGTTATTCAGTCATTTAAATCATCAGATTTGTCAGCAGAATAATATTTTTAAACATGTAGAGAAAAAATACTAGAGTATGTATGATGACCACTAAATTTAAAATATATATTGACAAATGCCTCATAAGTTGGATGAAGAAATGTGTGAAAATGGGTGTTGATAAAAAGAAAAAAATCTATATAATTTATTATTTGCCGATGACCAAGTGTTAATTGTACTAGATGAACAAGGAGGCCTCAAAATAAATGATAACAAAACTAAAACTATGTACACAGAGGAAGAAGAGAGCACTAACTAAACATTATGCAAGATGAGTAAAGTAGAACAATTTTGTTACTTGGAATCCATAATTGAAAATAATGGTAGAACAGAAGCAGAAATACAAAAAAAAAAAAAAAGAAAGTATGCCCAAGGGAAAAAATTTCTTGCTGTAATACTGAATTTTTGGAGAAGAGCAGCAAGGATATCCAGGATAGAAAGGGTGAGAAACATCCACTATAAGGGAGACATTGGAAGGGAAACAAAATATCCTATAGGTAACGTAAGAAAGGAGCCTCAGATGATATAGCCATGTAAGATGAATAAGTGACAATAAAATACCAAAGCTAATTATGGATTGGGAGGCTCTCAGTTAGAAGGATGGATAGAGTGATGGAGAGTATGGTTGGTAGGAGATTATCGGAGGACAGGAATAACCAGCAGAGATGGAGGGACCTGTTAAAGGAAAAAGGACTTTGGTTGAGGAAAACTTCAGATTGAAGAAATTTCTGAGAAAAATAAAAACGTCTGCCAAGTAAGATCAGTATAGTTTCCTCGCCGTTTTCATTGACTAAAAAATATCTATATTACAAGGTCTAACATTTTTCGTATGAGGACAAAAACTCTGGGAGAAGCCGTTTTCGAAAATTCAGTCCCTTAACATATACAGGTTTGATATTCACGAGTTCATTAAATACTAAAATGTGAAAGAGTTCTGCATTTGCAGATTGCATATTTGATGATTCATGATTAAAAAAAAAAATCCAGTGCATAATGAACATTAATATCACTACTGTCAGTCCAAAAGACCAAGTGTAAAAATTGAATGTTTTGCAGGAGAGCATAAAAACTAATTGTTTCCTTATGATTTATTAGTATAATTTCATATTTTATTGCTCTCTGCTACTTTCAATCATCGTAGCAGACTGCTTATATCAGTTGCAGACTACAAAATGTCACCTTTAGCACAAATAGAATAAAAGTTGAAAATATTTACATACAACCTTTTGCACTAACAGTAGTGATATATATATACTTAATAGAAAAAAATCAACTTTTTGTTTCTTTGGAATTAACTCTAATATAAAAATATGTGTGAAGTTCATATAACTTTGATATTTAAGGATGAAATCGAGACCACGACGAGCTAATTGAACTTCCATACAAATAAACACAATTAAGACTTTTTTTAATACAAACTCAGAGTAAAAATTAATTTAAATTTAGTGAAAATTACACAAAATTTAAGTAACGGCAGTAAGTGTCATGACAGTAATGTTCGGAATCGGAAAACAAACAATACATTATAAATTAACTTTATATAATGTATAATGAATGTATTAACAAAACCTAAAATTTTATAACCCCATAAAAATATTGTGTTAATCTAACTCCCACTCCAAATGATCAATGCCTTCCACATTTTCTTACATATTCCAGCCACAGATGGAAATCAATGAAATTGATACTAGGTAATTTCTCAACTATTATCCAAATTTCCTCCAAGTTTGGGTCAAATCGAATGCACAGTTTTTAAACCTATTGGAGTGTCGAATAATGAAGGATGAAAACAAAGATCTTGTATAATTCATCTGATGTTATTTCTACCAATAAGAAAGGAAGAATAAGATAGTTGGGGATAATGAGCAGAAAATGAAGAATAATAGAATCCTTAAGTTGATTATGGAGTGGTATCCAGAAAGAGAGGAAGATTTAAGTTGTTTTGGCACAAACATGTAAAAGCTGAACTAAAGATACACGGAGCAGGAGAGGGCCCAAGGAATTAAGTAGATAAGGATCGTGGAGGAGACCAGGACTCTTCATAGACCACAGAATTATTTAGAGAGAAATAAAACTATATATGATGGCTAGCTTTAAACAACAGATTAATCTCAGCAGATAATGAAATTATTTTCAATTTCCATAAAATTATTTAAATTACTTTAAAATTATTTTCTCTTTTCTCTATAAAATTGAATGATTTGTTTTTAACGTCATATTCATTTTATATTTCTAAGATATATTCGAATTCTAAAATACTTTGTTCAACTTTCCGAAATGTACGATGCAGATAGAATTCTAAATAACAATCTTAATTTCATAAAATATATTGGTGATAAATGTTTAATTAAGTTATAGCATTTGAGTACTTCAGTAGTGAAGTTAATGATATACTTACGGTCTTCTCTAACACATTATAAACTCTAAATAACTGCTCAGAAGTTGGCCTTCCTTCTAGCTTGTCAGAGTTTTGGGGCTGAGTAAGTGTGTGTTCTGGTGTTTCTGAATTAACTAATGGTTGATTTCTCATAGGTGAGCTATTGAAAACTTGAGAAGAGTTGGGGCTTTCATCTCTTTTGATAGTGTCAATGTTTAAGGTTCTTTTTTCATAATTCTGAATGTTAGACAGGAGGAAATTAACTTGATTTCTCGATTTATTTTGTTTATCACAACATTCCAGCTGTACTACTGGCTGTAGCTTCCATCTGTCTTTATAAGAAATAATTCCAACTGTTCTTGTCTCAGGCAAAATTGGAGAGTGATGGAAAATTTTGATTTGATTAACCTAGAAAAAAAAATTCTATTAATATAACTCATATAATATCCAATAATTACTGAACCAATAAGATGGGTATACTATCTTGATACTGATTTAAAATTGAACTAAGTGAAGATTTATTTAAATATTTTTTAATTTACAAGGCTCTTCATTGAGTTTTTAAACCTCAGAAAATGAAAAGGAACATAAGAGCCAGTAATAACATGAACAGATTCCTTGACAAAACCTATCTTAAAATTCTCTGGTTTTTCCAAGTCTTCAAGTAATTTTTGGAAAAATTTCAGGTCATTAAAATATTATGAGGCAATAAACAACAAAGACAATTTCACGATGTGTTAGTTTATGATGGATATAACTTTTTTTTTACATGAAGTAGGATAAGGAAAATTTTTTTTTGCTTCAGATTAAAATTTATAAACTTATAGTTACTATGAATCATTTCACATAATTCATTATTTCAATATATCTAACATTTAAAGGCTGTTACCTATTAAGAACAATATTAAGGTTCTTATAAAAAAATATTTTCTTTTATTCTACATAATTTTGTAAAATGTTAACAAAAATTAACTAGTTACTCTTCAGTAAACAAATAAAAATATCAAAGCAGCTTTATGGACACCAACAACAATAGATACAACATCTATAATACTTATAATCTTATTTAACAAAGGTAAAACATCCTTTTTAGCTATAAAACTGATTACAAAAAATTATCAACACGATGAATTACGTTTGATAGATAATCGGTATACTTGTGTACCTATCACTATTAAATATACGTAATATATACATTGCACTATTTTCATCATCAACTCATAAAGATTAATAATGATTCTTAATCATAATAGAAGTTTTGTGCTCTCATCCCTTCACAAAGCCTCCGTTTGAACTTTTCTGGTCCAGCAGACATCCTTATAAATTATATCAACTTTGTGCAGTATGATCATTTTAAAAGTCAATCCAATGAGATAAAAAAAACAAAAAACTACAGCTTATTTTTCATTACATTGAATGAGAACTGCTTCAGCATTGATTCGTCAAACTGGAGGCTTAACTTTTTCACAAGTGCAAGGTAGCAAAAGCAAATGATTCTCAATGAAATGAGAAAAGTCTGTTTCAGTTAAAGATTTTATCTCGAGTTGGTCAATTGTTTATACAATCGTGAAATAAATATATGCAAATAGTCAAGTTATTTTATACTAAAAATTGTTTACTTTTAAATATTAAGTTAAACTGCACTTGATATAACATTAAATTTAATTTTTGTAATTATAAAATTGGAAATTAGAAGCACTCAATGCTAACATATTTTTCTGCTTTTTTTTAAAAATAATTAATTATTCATAGAGATAAAAAACAAAAACAAAAAATCATAGCAATCAGTTTGGTTAAGAACTAATAATAAAATTATAGGATCTATGGAGGTGCAGATATTACTTCTAAAAAGTTTTTAGTTTCAAGAGTATTGTCAAAAATACAATACATTAGCTGAAATGGAAGTAAGGCACCTTGCGGCTGAAAATTAAAAAAAAATAATAGTTTACAGGGTAATATTGTATTATATTATAATGCAACTACTTTTATTAACAACAACAATGATAATTTTAGAATTTTCAGAGTTTTTGATTAGTTAGACCCCCCTTTCAATATTAAAAGGAAACCTTTAAATCACAAGCAGAATTCTAAAAATTACATATAGATGGAAGAATGGCCATTTTATTAATCTATGATGATTTATTACCAACTTCTATATTTTATAAGCCTTTAACTTCTCCATAAAGGTAAAAGGAATTAATAAAGGAATCATTGGTCTTGTTCACTTCATAGAGCTCTAATATTTTTTTTTAATTTGGAAAAAAATTTATTTATAAAATATTACTTGTTAAGTTCAATAGATATCTTAAGTTACACCTTTATTTATTTTAACTATGGTAGGAGAATCCCTAGGAAGGTTAAGGATTATTCTATAGGTTTGCCAAAAAGTATATTTGAATCAATTTAACAGCCTTTCTAGAAATTAAAAAAAACTACTCAGAAAACTAGAGTTCAATCTATGCTATTTTATATATTGTTGAATTGAGTGATAAAAAACACTCAAAAAGCATAAGGTCCAAAAAAATTGGACAAATAAAATTGAAAAAATTGTTACAGTATTTTTAAAGACATGATCCCACCAACTATACAGATGAGAACCAATAAATAGACCCATGTTTTAAGGTATATCCTCTACCTTGTTAATAATGGTATATGGGAAAATTGTTCTGGAAGTACAAACAAACTTATTCTAACATAAGTGGGAAGTTTAAGACTTATGGGTCCTTCATCAAATAAATTAAAAACCCCCATGGCCAGCTTCAAACCAGCATCATTAGACTCGAGAGTGTTAAAGCAGGCAATCACAGCATCAATTTGTGTTGATTTGTAATAAGAATTAAATAATAATTAGATAATTTAAACCATACTCTACTGTCTAAAACAACATGACTAATGAGAAGGATAAAGTTTCTTTGAAACTAAATTCACTGAATTAAAATAACGTGAAACATAAACATTAATCATTATTTCTGTCAATTGAACATTATGAGGAAAAATCAGCTACTGATACTTAAACTTACATGAAGTGAATCCCAACAAACACACAGAACTTATTATGGTGACCAATTTATTTAATTTTAGAATTTAAAATAAAATTTAGGAGAAAGCATCAATTATTAAATTAAAAAATGTAATGCTTACCTCCTCTGAAATGCCTGTTCCTTTTCCATTTTGAATACAAAGAACTGATGTTACATGATTCGGTAGACTTTGAATAGTGGGCATTAATTTATTCGATATTGAACGCAAGCATAAAGCCATGACAGAGACGATATTGTGAAAAAATGAAAACTTAAACGTCAAGACTATCTTATTAGGAACCTCCGGTAAATTCTAACCTGCAAAAGAAATATTGAAACCTCCTCGTAGTTTCAAAATAAAATCCATAGACATCCTAAATAGGCTTTATGGCAAAATTAGGCTCGATATTAAATAAATTAACTTGATATCTTAAAATTTTAATTTTAAATTTTATAATTAACTATTATTAATCTCAGATCGCGATTATTAAATATATACATAGTATATATATTAATATCAGATAGAATGGATAGTATAATTTCGAAATAATGAAGTACATATACAATTTAAAATTTCCATATATAATTATTTGTCTAGTTTATTATATTAAAATTACCAAATGAAGTGATTTATGTTTTATTGGCTACAACTCATATTAATACCAATAAACACGAATTTGTAATTTGATTTATTCTTGAAATTTTAATATACTAAATTCTTGTTAATTATGATAAACTTACATTACACAGAAAATGAAGCCAATCTCAAACATATAAATTTAAAAAAAAAAAGTCTCCAGCCTACGACTCGCGGAAGCTTGTTGATTACATGATAAAATTTGAAAAACTATGTAAAAATATAAAATTAATTTATCCCACAATCTTATTGAAATATCATATAACGTCTCTACACCCAAACTTTTTTTTTTTTTTCTTTTGGGGTCCTCCCTCCACTTCCTCGCCGTTAAGACTGTACGGGTTTTTACAGGCCCACGAGGTGTGGGCGGGGATTTAATAGACGCCTTGGCACCGGGACGCGAACTCGTGACTATTTTTATAACACATTTATCATATATCAGGTTGCCGGGCTACGGTGGTGCTGTGCACTACGCGTCAGCCCATTCGGCCACCCCGCCCACTCTTCACCCAAACCTAAAATAATTTCTAGGAGAGATCTTGATTCTTTAACCACTGAAAACATCAACCCTTTTCTCGATTCCCTTTCTACTTCCTTAGAACCCATTTATTCTCTCCCATCCATCGATGACATGGTTGAATGCCTTAACTCCAACCTCCTTGATTTCCTCAATCGTCACGCACCTCTAAAAACACCTATCTTTAGACGTCCTCCCGCTCCTTGGATCAATACAGAAATAAGAGAATACGCCCAAAACTTCAATAAAGTTTTATCTCAAGAGCCCAACCCTAAGTTCAAATGGACAATCCTTAAGAACCTCTCTGTTGTTAGCTCGAAAACCTGCACACAGTATCCAGTCGATCCGAACAAGCTAAATTCCTTTTTCACTAACCATTTTCCATCCATATTTTCATATGACCGCTCATCTTTTTTCATCACCTAAACTCCCTTCGACCCTGTTTTATTTTCTTGATATCTCTCCTACTGACCCATTCTCTGTCACTCTTAAATCCAAAACGAACGATTATGGTCCTGACCAAATACGTGTTAAAGTTAATAAACTCTGCCTTCCAACCTTATTCACTTCTACTCATATATAATTCCTCTCTCCAAAATTCCATTTTTCCCAAATCCTGGCAAAGAGCCATAGTCCACCCACTGAACAAAGTTCCTACTCCTTCATTAGCTTCCGACTTCAGACCCATCTCCATTGTATCCAATCTATCCAAAACTTCAGAAAGATTAGTCCACTCTCAGTTGAACAGCTTTCTCGACCAAAACCATTTCCTCAATCCTTTACAATCTGGTTTCCGTTCCCATTATTCCCACCCAGTACGCCTTTCCAAGGATTACCCTAAACCTCCAATACGCCATAGATAAATCGAAAATCTCCATCCTAATCCTTTTTTACTTTTCCAGAATGTTTTATTCCGTCAATCATGAGATCCTTCTTTCCAAACTCCAAAGCCTGCCCATATCAAATAGCGTCCTAAAATGGTTCCTCTCCTTCTTATCCGATCGATCTCTGACAGTTGTAATTCGGAACAAATCTCCATCATCTCCTCTTCAGCTAATACGAGGTTGATCCTCAGGGTTCCTCACCCCTACCCTCCCGACCCTTTTGTCTATTTATTTTAGTGACCTTCATGATGCCATTCAACACTTCTGTTACTAGTACATCTATGCCGATGGTTCTCAAATTTACCAATCATTTCAACCTTCTGAGATGCCTGAGGCTGCCCGGAAGCTACAAGAGGACATCGACTGCAACAACAGATGGGCAGAAATAAATGAATTTAAACTGAATGGAGATAAAACTAAGGCTATTCTAGTCAGATCCAGACATCTCGTTAGCTCCCTTTTTTACTTTCCTCTACTTTACCTCAATAACCGTTCCATCCATTTTTTCCCTACTGTCAAAAACCTAGGAGTAACCGTTGACTAGAACCACTCTTGGAATAACCATATATCCCAGATTACACGAAAATACAGGAAATCAGATTACACGATCATTTTTAGGCTTTGAAAGTGCTTTATTATTTATTATTATCTATTAGAACCCACGAAACATTAAATTACAACTTCTCTCAGCAAAGAACCGCGCTGTTGTACAGTTTATTTAGAATGTTTCTTTTTTGCTTGACGATTGTACCAGTCGGAGAGCATTGAAGTATCCCACCGACCTTAATAGCTTCGTTCCATTGAAGATATATCTTGGTGAAATCACTAACCATGTTCGTCACTTACAGATCCACAAATTTCGGGAAAGGAGTCCAAATGAGAGTAAAGAAAGTGAATCTTGAGTGACATGTTACAACTCAGATATCTGTACTTCTTAAGGAGAGTTTGGACTAAGACAGCGTAATTGTCTTCTCTTTTGTTACCCAAAAAACCAGTACCGAATTCTGTAAATGCTTCTCACACTGTTCTTTCTTTACTCTGAAGAATATTTAAAAATTCCTCGTCATTAAGAAGCCCACAAATTTGTGGACCAAAAAGCGAAGAAATTTTCTTCTCAAGTACTTGAATGCCTCTCCTGATTGGTCCATTCCTTTGACAACATTTTTCATGAGGTCTAACTTTATATTTAGTGGAGGCAAAATGATTTTTTCAGGGCCCACAAAAGGGCTGTAGAGAAAATGTTGTCCAGGGGTCAGGACTTCTCTTTGATGCCATTATTTCCTGATGTAATCAGATGATCTGTTCCGACTGCCCCACTCACATAAGAAAACAGTACTTAGTATATCCCTATGGCATGCCAAGAATTCCCACCACTTTTAGGTCTCCACAGATTGGCCATTGGTAGTCCTGGTATCTGATGGATTTTAAAAGGGTTTACATATTTTGGTAAGTTTTCTTCATGTGGACAGCATGACCAATAGGAATAGAGGGAAGTAAATTGCCATTGTGCAACAGAACTGCCTTGAGGGATAGCTTTAATGAATCTATGAACATCCTCCATTTCTGTACATTGTAATCTTTACACTGACGTTTTCTGTACATTGTAATTTTTACACCAGCTTATAAGAAGTTCCATTGCTTCAATCTTGAACCCAAAAGTTCTGCTTTCTCTTTGGATTACCCTAGACCTCCAATACGCCATAGATAAACCGAAAATCTCCTTTCTAATCCTTTTTCAGAGTGTTTGATTCCGTCAATCATGAGATCCTTCTTTCCCAACTCCAAAGCCTGCCCATATCAAATAGCGTCCTAAAATGGTTCCTCTGCTTCTTATCCGATCGATCTCAGACAGTCGTAATTCGGAACAAACCTCCATCATCTCCTCTTCAACTAATACAGGTGATCCTCAGGGTTTCTCACCCCCTCCCCCCTCCCGACCCTTCCACTCCAGATTCCGAATCAAGTCACTGTGTTCAGCTTGAATAAGCAAGTGGGGTTTTCGTTCAAAAGAAAAATCAGGATCAGCTGATAAGGTTCCTTCTAGGGGATTTTCCTCTCCATTATCCTCGTCCTCATTCAATTTATAGTGTTCAGGAGATCTTGTTACAGGCAATTCGTCCCCCTGTGGTATTGGCCGTATAGCAGAAGGAATGTTAGGGTATTTCATTTCAGATTTCTTTTTTCCAGATATTCCATGATAAAGAGGAGGGGTCATGCAAAAGTAGCAGTTGTCACAGACAGAAATCAATCTTACCAACCAAGGAGCAGGAAATTTCCCCATATTACAAAAAAAGTAACTATATCTTAGAAACTAGAGCTAGGTGATGATTTGTATATGGAAATTCGAATTTATCACACCAAAAATCATGGAATGAGGCTGTTTTCAAGTGAGATACAATATCAATGTAGAGCAGTGTAATCGAAGGCAATATATTGAAGGTGTTCCTCACAGGGGTCAATATTATACCAGTTAAGATCTTTCTTCCACCAAATACCGTTTGATATTTCATGTTTGCTAAACATACTAATGGTTGGTCTGAAGGCTTCTTCTTTTCCAATCTTTACATTTAGATCACCCAATATTATTTTAACATTATGATACGGCGGTTCCCTGCCACAGCCTATGTTGATGATTTGGCCGCCGTGGTGGTCTGAAAGCAGAGGCTGAACAATGCGCCAGTTTGGTAGGAAGATGGTGTGAGAGGAAGAAGTTAAAGATAACTGCAACAAAGACCCAGGCAATTCTCTTGAGGGGTACGACTGACAGGACACATCATATTATTTTGAGTATAGATAAAGAAAGGATACGTCCTAGTGAGGTTGTCACCTACCTTGGCATTAAAATTGGTCGAAAGTTCAACGTGACTCCTCACCTGGACTATATGAGAACTAGAGTCACAGTGGTCCTAAATGGACTCAGCTGTGTCGGAGGCGCCTTCTGGGGTCTCATATACCCAGTTACAATGGCTACATACAAAGGAGTAGTTTTGGGTATTCTTTGATAAGTGTCCCCAGCCTGGAACCTAAACCTCTCGCACCGACAGAAGAGTAGGGTAGCATCGATTCAGAGATTGGCGTTACTTCGGGTTATTAGAGCCTATAGAACGATATCTCATGAGGCTGTGCAAGTACTGGCAGGGGTGACCTGTCGATCTCCTCCTCCGAGAAGACTATTACCTCTTTAAAATGAAAAGAGAAGGTTCGGCAGATCTACCGAATTCTCATCTTCTAAAGATGAGAATTGAAGAAGACCCAAGAAGATGGAAAAGAATTATCAAGGAGGACATAATTTATCAATGGAACCGGCGATGGATGACAACTCCGAAGGGAGCTACTCTAAGAAAGTACTTCCCTATGGTTAAGTCACAATTAGATGCAAAATGGCTCCTCCCATATTACTGGATGTCTCAACTCCTCACAGGACATGGGTGCTTCCGAGCGAAGCTCGTTAAACACGGGAAGAACATTGATTCGCTATGCCCTAACTGCAACATTCCGGAGACCGCCGAATATGTGGTAGTCGAATATACTGCCTGTGAGGCGCTAAGAGTCAAGCTCCTGAGAGAAATGGGGATATATACACTGACAGAGAGCATGTTCCCTCAGCTAATGAGCAGAGAGAATTACCTACATTATAGGGAGTTTGTATACGGGTGGAAAGATGCGGTAGGCCATTTTAATCAGGGAAGAAGAGAAGGAAGCTAAGACAAGCTGCAGCTGCTTCGAGGACCGGCTCCATGTGGAAGAATGGAGAAAAGAAAAGTGAGGGTTGTGGGCTTGTGCACACAAAAAAGTCAACACCTCATAAGTAATAATGTTAACAAGTTTTAATAGACCTATACTGCTGTTACAAACCGTATTGTCTATAAGGCAAGGCAGGGAGGGAAAAAAAAAAAAAAAAAATGTTTCTTACCATCTATAAACAGGTGGCATTGGAGGTTGATGCGACCTATTCTTTTATACTGATAGCTGGTGAAATACTGGTGTTATCTTCCATTAAATTTTGATGACCCTTTTGTAGGAGGTTTGATTAAAGCCGAACTTGGGTCTCTATACCTGTTTACAATATTAATAAAGTGTTCTATATTTGTCCGTAACTAAGTTCTTTGGAATATAATTTGATTATTTAATCTTTTTTTTAAACCCAATATTCATCAATTTCAGTCATATTGTCATAGCAAAGCTAAGTCTTATTGATGTCATTGCATTATTGTCAATCCTCATTTCTAATTTATTTAAAGAAAAATAATTAATTTGTTTTAACTGAGCTAATAATAACTAGTTGCCAGGCAGTCCCTGAGTTGCATAAGGAGTTTCCCCCTCAGCCAAACCCTCCTTCTATTGGAGACCAACATTTGTTTTCAATTTCCAAGTGGTACAACCAAATCTATTCTAACCAGAGTGGGAAGGTTGAGATTCATTCCATGGGCTCACCACAAATTAATTTCAGTCTAGATTCAAATGGATGTCCCTAAACTTGAAATTTAATTCATGCTTCAAAAGGTTGAGCCATAAGGACCTCATTTATGACCAATCTACAGTTGTTGATTTATTGACAAATAACTTGAAACAGAGATCAGTTTTTGTCCTACTTCCCCTCCCTTCGCCAAAAACCAGTAAATAACAATCATTCTATCAGTTATTATAGTAAGAGTTGTGAAGTATTTGTTTTTTATTTGATATTTTTTTAGCTTGTTAACATACACTTAGGAGTGCTAATACCTGTTGCCCTTGATTGTGGCAGACAGTATTATTATTATTCAATAAATAAATTCTATTTTTGCTCTGTTTATGAAGGATTAAAGGGGAAAATTAAAGAAATTTATAAATATCAATTACCAAGTAATATTAATTTTTAAGTTACTGTTTATTATAACTGTAATAAGAAAAAAAAACATGAACATAAAATTTATTAAATTAAAAATACCACACTAAAACAATTACAAATTAACCATAAATAGAAAATATATTAATCAAATAAATACATACAGTATAAGAAAACATTGTACAGTTTTATTTGATGATATTTACATAAAGTTGTAGTAACCCAGAAAAATAAAAATGATATATAATGAACTGATAAACTGAACACTCAATTTTTCAAAAAAAAAAAACATATATACCTTCTAAATGATTGTCTTCTGTCTGTGGCATTAGATTAAAAGAATGACACTTATACAGGATACATTAATTTAATTTTTTTTTTTTTGAGCTTGTTTTTCAGTCTTACTAAGAGACGACTAAAAATTTATAAAAAATGGAAAGCAAGTTAAAAAAAAACTATGGTGCCTTCATAGTTAATTCAACATAATTTCAGTATTATGTGTAAAATACTGACCATATAATTATTATTTACATTGATTTTTGTGGCTGATAATCATGAGGAATTTACAGCTATAAAATAGTAATATAAGCATGATTATGTACAAAGGAGATTTTATCTGATGATTCACTAAATGACAAAGAAGGATGAACTATATTCGACAAACAATTATATATTAGGGAAAGGAATTAATCGGGGGGTGCGGTCAAATAAATACTAAATTATAGAAATAGTATTATTTAATTAATATGCCGATGTTTCGACCCACCTTGCAGGTCTTCATCAGGGCTACAAAAGATCCAAAATATAAAAGGTACATGGTGAAAATAAAATAAATGAATAATAAGTAGATATTAAACAAGAAAAAGTTGTCTGATAAAGAAATAATAAGATGATATCAGAGATATAGTGGGTGACAATGTAGTTAAAATATCAAGTATTATATATATAGAAGATACAAACAAAAATATTTTATTCATACTTATTTCCTATTTTTGTTAGTATCTTCTATATATATAATACTTGATATTTTAACTACATTGTCACCCACTATATCTCTGATATCATCTTATTATTTCTTTATCAGACAACTTTTTCTTATTTAATATCTACTTATTATTCATTTATTTTATTTTCACCATGTACCTTTTATATTTTGTATCTTTTGTAGCCCTGATGAAGACCTGCAAGGTGGGTCGAAATGTCAGTTTAATAATTAAATAATACTATTTCTATAATTTAGTATTTATTTGACCGCACCCCCTCCCCCCCGATCAACTCCTTCCCATATTATATCACGGTCAACCATCTCTACATAATTATATATTAGGGTGATAATTGCTTAAATCAGCAGAATATTGCAAACAGATTTTATATTGCACCGAGAAATAAAACAATTTCTCCTATAAAAGAAAAATAGCTATCATGAGATTTAAAATTATCAGTACTAAAACAATTTAAAATCTACAGATAGTAAGTTATAATAAAGTTGAGGTATAAATAGCAAAATTTATTTTTTAAATTTGTTTAAAAACAATTATGCGGACAATGATATCTTAACGATTTTCTGTGTGTAAAGACATTATTACAGAAGTCAGAGAGCAGAAATTAGTACCTCATTATGCATTTGGTCAGCAAAAACTGATGATAAGTGATCAAAAACAAACTTTAATAATGACTAATTTAAAACTCCAAGTTAAATAATATTTCTGTGTAGCAATGGCTTGTCATAATTGTATTAATGAAAGATATATTGAGCAATACTTAGAATATGAAACCTGGATTATTGAATATAAAAGTGAGGGAAATTATACTATTTTTATCAGGCTATTAAAGTTCATTTAATATTTTTTTCTGACTTAAAGATATAACTAGAACTTCGACTGTAATTAGAATAAAAGGGCTGTAATTAGGAGATACTGTTATAAAGGAAGCAAAATGTTAAAGGAAATAAAAAAGAAACTGTAATAAAACTTAACATAGATAGCTAGGAAGAATCTTAAAACCAATGTCGATTAAAATTTTTCATAAACACTTCTGAGATATATCTTTAGAATTAAGAGGTTTCTTGATTGATAACGATTTTTCAAAAAGAAGAACACCAGGGAAGATTGTGTCTTTTCAGCTTTTATTTAAACTGGCTTCAATCCATGATCAACAGAGGTAAACTTCATGTGGATTATTGTTGTTAAATATTTCATACCTATGATAAGGCAGAACTAGTGAAAAATATAGTGTAATTATTTTAGATAAGTCATAAAATCAGTTGTTTGGTAAGAAGTGATAAACATATGAAGAATAAAAATATATGGTAAATTTATTAAACTGAAAAAATGTTTTTAATGGTTATTGCTCACTATGTATGCATTTCTAATCGAGTTATGAGTTAACTACTATTATCATTGTTTTTAAGTGTTGTTCTTTTTTTTTCAAAGAAATTCAAATTTTCAAAGGATTATTGCCTGTCCTAACATCAGAAAAACTATTAGAGACAACTTTACACCTGACAAAACTTTATTTGCCTGATAGTCAGTTTCAAAACTATTAAACTATAAAATGTAGTTTCAAAACCTTTAGTTCTCAAAACCAAATGAATTATTGCTCTATTTTACCTATACCAGGGGCTAGGTCTTTCCTGATTAAAGACTTTATCTAGAGTGGCGTACGATTTGAGGAGTAAGCTTTAATCAAATGAACTTTAACACATACTAAAAAAAAAAATGATACGAATAGCTGTAACAGTAACATAACAATATAATTCATAACATAAAATTTAAATTATAAATAATTATATAAATATTTAAAACATATAAAATATTACTAACTGACCATCTATTAAGTATATATCACTTACAAATCATTAGTTTATCAACTAAAATATATATTTTTTTAATTCACAAATCTTTAGAGACAAATTCATTCAGCATTTGTGTGTATTTTTTATATTAAATAATTATATAATGTTTTCTGTGAACAACTTGACTAGATTCGTATTGACTATTGTTCTTCTACAGTCTCTGTTCAACAATCAAGATATAATAGCAACAAGCCTAAGTCAAATTAGAAATAAAAAAGAACAATTGTTAAACAAATATAATAATAATAATATTAGCTAGTAATTATTTTAATGTATATTCTCTACACATAATTGAATACGTGGCAAGTATAATTCAAATCAAGTTTTCATTACTTTTTTTCAATGATAGGAAATACATAACATAAAAATATAAATCATTCATAATGGAGAATTTTATTCATTTTAAATTAATAAAAAAAAAATTAATAAAAAATGTATGATCAATAAAACAGTATTCAATTGTATTTTATGTGAATAACATTATTCAGTTAGAATAGTAGAACAACCACATATATGACAAACAGTTGGCAAATGTAGTGATTACAATATTTGCCATATGCGTGGCCTTATCTTAAAGAGTTTAAGTTGTTCAGAAACTGTAGATAAACATTATTTTCAAATCATTATACCGATTTTATCTTTTTAAGGTATATATAAATTCAAAATTAAAAAATATGAAAATTTCTTACTGCTTACACATACGTTTAAGCTTATATTAATAAATATAAACAAATAAAATTTATAAAATAATAAACACTTAGGTCACCTACATCAGTAAATGATCATCATAACATCAAAAATTCTTCAGTCTCCACACTTAGTATACAATGGATAATGAACTATTTACATAGAATATAAAAAAATAACTATGACAAACAAAATAATAAAAACAATTAACATTCTTAAATCAACATTTTACAGCATATATCAAGGTAACAATAAGATAATATTAAGTTTAATAAATATAAACTTAAATTAAGACTAATAGGATCATGTAAAAAAAGTTAATATTTCTGGAGAAGAATAATTAATCAAAGAAATAAGTAGCGTAAAAAAATATTTGGAACTTCTTTGATTAAGCAACTAATTAAAGACAGTCTCATTTCAAGTAACTAATTACACTACAAATTATTGATAAAAACATCTATACAACTTTAAATTTGTCCAAGATTAAGATTTACCATTCACTGGTTTTGTACAACAGAAAACTGGACCTAAAACATAAATAAAATAAGAAACAGAGAATTAAATAATTACTAATATCTAATAATTTAAAAAACTAAAGTTTAATTAAATAAAAAAAAGAAATTGAATACGAAAATAATTCAATGCTTAGGAGCAAAATGTACTTTCATATCTACTTAATTACATTGGTGGATTACTTATGAAGAAGCTGAAGTCTCTGCATTTGGAAACTTGGAGTAAAATTAAATTAGGTGTTTTCCACCCAAATGAAACTCAATTCTCTTCTACAATATATTTACTTTGTGGATGTATGTATAGGTCACAATGTGCTTCAGTATAGTGGATGGAACCCAACTACTTCATAATGATACAATATACAAAGATGGTGACTTCACTAAGAATGTTTAAGTAGATATGTAAAGTACATTGTCTCTAAGGATTGATAGGGTTATTTATGTATTAAAAAAAAAAATTAAATTATTTTATATTTTAATGTTTTTATTTTTAAAGTGTAGAGAATTTATATTGATAACATGTGATTGTAAACGTAATATGATATAAAATCAACACAAAATTTAGAATAATCAAAATATAATTCAATATAATGAGTTCAAATCTTATCAAAACATACACGGGATCTCACTGAGTAATTAGAATCATTATACTTATAAAGCAATTAAACTGTTTGCTCAAAAATTGCTACATACCTTAAAACGGATAGATAAAACGTATTAAAAACAATATTTCATTAGTATTTTGAACTCAAATTGTTTAAAAAAACTCATCTGATCTCGATGAATAATTTGAGCCATCTAACTTCAAAATCAGTTATGCTGAATGTTCAAAAATCGTTATATACCTATTAACAGTCAAGCTTAACGCATTACCCTCTTTGTGGTTTTATTGTAGTCCAGTAATTTTTGTATGTAGAACTGAATTTCAAAACTTACTTCAGTATTTAACTGAAATTTAGTATTAAGACTGGTTGCATCTTATTAAGAGTTAGTTTAGGTTTAACTTAGTAAAACAATAACATTTTGTGGATAACAGATAAAACAACTCTTACAATAATAAGGGAATAGTTAATGATTCTCTTGTATTTATTTAAAAAAAAAAAATATATATATATATATATATATATATATATATATATTATTAATGTGTTTATGTTTAAACTAAAATTAGAATCTATTAATTGCTATTTATATATTAATGTTAGAGTGCTACCAGTGGTTAGTTTCTCAAGAAGCATTTTCATCTGATTATATTCCTGTGTACACATTTATTAGATGTATTTTTATATTAGTTTATTAGAAACTTTTTGTGAATCGAAATAAGAATAAGAAAATAAATAAGACTCTTTCCATTCTTCAGGTAATTTCACATTCAGCCAGATCTTTTTAACCAACAGATGTATTTTAGAAACTCCAGCTTCCCCGCATGCCTTGATTAGTTCACAAGGAATATTATAGGTTCCCACTGCTTTATATGATTTTAATTTTCCGATTGCTAATTCAACTTTCTCTTTACTCGGTTCTTCTATTAACGGTTCAGCATTCTGGTACTCACAAGGAGGACACAGATCATAATTTCCCGAATTTAAAATACTGTCAAAGTGGCTCTTAAACTTATTTAATATGTCTACCGGATCGGTCAGAATATTGTTATTTTCATCCCTAATTCCAGATGGGCCCTAAACATTTACGTGATCTGTTTATACCTTTGTACATGTCTCTTACGTTGTTCTCGATTCTATTAGTTTCTATTTCAATTATTTTATTTTTGAGCAATTTTGTCGTTACATTCTTTGAGGTTTGGAAGTATTCCAGATTTTCTTCGCTAGGATTATTTAGAGCTTTTAATTTAGCGGCTTTTCTTTTTTCGCACATATTTAAGCAATCTTCATCAAACCACCGTTTATTATTCTTATTTTCCTTTTTTCCTAGACACGAGTTACCGACCCCACTTTAATATTATCCCTGATCTCTACCCATAACTTGTCAATATCCTCGTAGTCCTCGTCGAAGTTTCGATATTACTAATTCATGATCCGACCCACTTTCTGCTCCGCGATAAGACCGTACATTAATTATACTACTTTGCCAGCTATGTTGTATCAAGACATCATCGAATTGATTTCGTGTTTGCGAATCCGGTGATGTCCAGGTATATTTATGAATATCCTTATGTTTAAACGTAGCACTTTTAATTATCAGGTTTTTCGAGATGGCAAAGTTAATCAGACGGATTCCATTATCATTACTATATAAGTGCAAGCTTTCTTTACCAATCGTCGGAACATAAACTTCTTCCCTCCCCACCTTTGCGTTTGCATCAACTACAATTATTTTCAAGAATAAAATGGCAAAAAATAAAATAATTACTATATTTTAATTTAGTATTTATTTGACCGCAACCCCCCCATTAACTCCTTCTCTTATTATATCAACGGTCAACCATCTCTACATCATTACAATTATTTTCATGGAGTTTCGCGGTAGTTTATCATAAACCCATTCGAGTTTATCATAAAATTAGCATTTGACTTCATCGTCACTGCCTTCGGTCGAACAATATATGTTTATGAACGCGATTTTAATCCAAAGGCCCTGAAATATCGTGACTGAAATTCTGTCACTAAAGAATTGTACGTCCATCAATGAAGATAGCAATATATTCCTAATTAGAAAACCGGTACCTAAACTATGACTCCCGCTTCCTCCGTACCAAATAGTGTACTTTCTTTCCCTCATCGAGCCCTCCCCTAGCCAGCAAACCTCTTGCAGAGCCACGATATCCAAATTGTACCTATTAACCTCAATCATGACCGATTTTAACCCCCTCCCCCTGCTGAGTTTTAACTCTTTATTACGTTTCACCTACCAATACTCAAATCCCTATTGATTTTAACTTGCGCCATAAATTCCCTAAAGCAGTCCCCACCCGGAGACCCGAACGGGGGACTAGTTTATCTCTGGATAATTTTTATTTTAATTAATTTTGTTTTTTGTTTGCAAATTTCTATCTTAAATTAATGGTTTGGGTATTATTATACTTTAATTTAATTGTGTTTCTTTGTATTTAATCAAAAACTAAATTAAATTTAGTCATTATGGTTCACTTTTGAAACCGATTTGACTATTCCACTAATTCACTTCGGTGGTGATCTGCTATAGCACACTCACCTCAATTGCTATAAATCCCTTTTGTACCTATTTTACTTCGAAAAATTACTATTGAAACCTAAAGACATTCACATTCAGCTCTTAGATTACATGCTAGCGGAACAACGTTTTCGATAGTTGAATTCGTTCTGTAAACCGTTCCATCCTGAACAGTCCATCCCTAGTTAGGAGAATCGTGCTTCACAGCAAAAATTTCTTTAATTTTTATTTTTCATGCCATTAATTAAGCAATCTTTTGGGAAAGTTTTCAATCCATTTCAGTTCATGATGAAATCAATTAAGGATATAAGATCATTAATAATCTTTTATATTCAATCAAACAACTTAATAACAAAATAAGTGATTTAGAAGGATTCCTCACCTGATTAGATCTCAGATGAACCACCAAGAGCATGTTCAGTCATACTCAAGCAAAGACTCTCTAGTCGAGAATCAATTTCATTCTCTGAGCCAGCGATAATTGTGTTACTTATACATCTCTGCTGAATATTAACATTATGATGCTGCAAAGGAACAGGAAAATAGTGAGCATAAATTACCACATAAAAACTAAAAATTTTAAGTTAAATTAATGAAAATGTTTATATTTATTTTTGTTAGTTGGTTTATCTGACTTGTTTCTTTAATAATAATACATTTTTATTTATCTATATTTACTTGTTTTTGTGAATTGACTCATTTTTAATTACTAAGTTATTAAATAATTTGAAGTAATTCTTTTCTGAATCATATTTTTTTTTTACCAATCCTGGTTTTGGTCTTGCAACAGTTAGGCATCCTTGGTCTTGGTCTTGCAACAGTTAAGCATCCTTGGTCTTGGTCTTGCAAAGTGCAAGACCAAGACCGATTTTGGGCAACACTAGTTACAACCAAGGGCAGATCGGTGATCGATTTGGTATGTATAAATGAAAATTGTCTGGACAAATTTATAAACATAGAAGTCGTTAGTATATCAGGGCTTTTGGATAATGGCTTGTATTAGACTTGCAAACCATTAGAGCACAAAATCCTCCTATGAATAGAATACCTTTGCCAATAGAATGCTTAGTCACTAAATATTCACTGTGGGATGAAGACAAAATTAATTTATTTTGTGAAAATATTTCTAACTCTGAAAGAATTTATTTCTACTTTGAAGATGTAAACCAGCTGTATGATAACTTCAAACAGGCAATGCTAGAGAACTTGTTGGAATCTGGTTTAATGTTTATGAGGAAGACGACCGCAAATACCACTCCACAACCTAAGCACAAATGGTTTGATCAGGAATGCAGGAGAGGCAAATTAAATCTTAAGAAGTTGCAAAGAATAATTCAGAACAGCTTATTGCGAGGATTTATCAGAGACTATCTTCAAGCCCGAGATGAATATAGAAAACTAATAAAAAGGAAAGAATGGAATTTAGAGCGCCAGTAATTACAAATTTGAGAAATGTAAAAATAGTGGACAATTTTGGAAGACAGTGAATGTGTTGAGACTATTTCATAATCAAAATAACGAAATTAGTCTGACTGATTGGTTTTGATATTACACGAATCTATACAGCCAAAAAACTCTACATGAAACATATGTTTTTCTCCGTAACTCATCCACTCCTCGATATTAATATATCATTGGAAGAACTGTAACACAGCATAGGTGCCAGTAAGAAACAGAAATCTCCAGAACCTGATAATATACCTTACGATTTTGTTAAAAGTCTCAACTCCTCTTGGGAGCACTACATATTAAATTTATTTAATAATGTATTAAATTCTGAACAAATTCCAGGAATGTGGGCAAAAGCTAACTTGCATCTTCTGTATAAGAAAGATGATAAGAAGGATCCAAACAACCACAGAGGCATATCCTTACTTAATACCTTAGCAAAGTTATTTACTAGCATTCTGAGGAACATTCTGACATTGCTAGACCATAAACATTTTTAATGACCCGGCAAAGATTGAGAGAGATTGGCTGGGAAGTTTTGATGCATCCACTGTATAGCCCTGTCTGACTACCATTTGTTTCGGTCTCTGGAGAGGTCTCTTAATGGTGTTAAGCTGGCATCAAAAGAGGATTCTGAAAATTACTTGGTTCAGATTTTTGCCCCAAAATCTCAGAACTCCTAAAGTGAAAGGCTTTGGTTTTACCAGAAAATAGCAAAAGGGCTTCAATCAAAATGGAATATATATAATTGGTCAAAGTTAGAAATTTATATAAATAAATTCGCTTTGAAAAATATATATATATATATATATAAAATTACTTTTTCTTCAACAATATAATAGCAAAATAGAAAAAAAAAAAAATAGAAATTTAGAGACATTGATTTGGGATTCACTGATACAGGAAGTATATTAAGATAAATAATATTATTTGATTATAGGATATGTGCAGACAAAAATAATATTTTATTATTATAATATTGTTTTGAAACATATTCAGGAAATTTTGAAATAAGATATGATTAATTCTGAAATTCGTAAATGAAAGAACTGATAAAAAAACAGATAAAACATGCTATAATATAAATGTAATAGCTATACAATGTTAATATAAAATCAACAGAAAAAAACAAAATGAATGAATCTATAAAACTTAAAATTAAAATAAATGTAAAATATCTTTTTCCTTGAGTTGGAAAGTTTTTTTGACAAGATTTTCATATTCACTTTTTTTTTTTTTTAATTTATCAGAAAGAAAATAATTATAATTACCTGTAATGGTTCAACAGGACTCCTTTGTCTTATTGCTTGTGAATAATATAAATGAGATCTAGGGGAAACTGATAAAGGAGGAGTAAAAACTTTAGGAGGAAGTCGATTGGTTTCTGGTGGCCTATAACAGATTTTTCATAGAATGTATAACCACATAAGATCAATATATTATAAGATATAGTTATATTTTCCCTCTCTCTTTTTTATTATTGATATTTTAATTAAACTGAAGGAGACAATAAGTAAACATTTAATGTTCACATAAACTGTGATCCATTACCCAAGAAGTTTGCAGATAATCTACTTAAACTAGAAAGTGTTACAGCTTCTTAAAATAATCAACAGAGCATAGGTATATGTAAGACTATAAAAAACAACAAGAGCTGAACGAAGTATTCTTTTCAATTTGGAGTTTCATAAGTAACAAAAATTTAATATGAAATTGTCCTCAACATTACAAACAAGCTAGATGGCATTGTAGATTTAAATAGATATAAAATAGATGACAAAGACACTTAAATAGATGAAAAATACATTAAGGGCTGTTCCAAAGAGCACATAAGGAATCAAAGAGGCCTGGAATTTTCATTGATAAGTTTAATACAGGGATAAATTAAAAATAGCTCACACGAATGGCCAATCCTAAGTATCACATTTTAAAGAACTTAAAAACATTTCTTCATGAGAAATTATGTTATATGAATTTTCTAAAATCAAAATTCATAATAATTATAAAGCATAAAATTAAGGCTACAAGAAATAAAAGATGGAAACACCAAAGATGAAATAATTTTACAAAAAACTATCACTCTATACAATATTTGAAGAGTTATAAAAGAAATATGACAAATATTATGATTTAGTTTGATGTTATTTTTTTTTTTTGATATTTAAGAAAGAGAAAATATATTAACATCCAAGAACATTTTATTGAAATTTCATTAAATTTACACATTTTAAGAACACCTGATACCAAAAAGAATTTGTTTCAAAAATGACAAAAATGTTTTTTTCATGGTCCTTATTTTTAAGGATTCATGTTTTATTTAATTCCTGAACGACTTTTAATGAAATTTTAGAAGACAGCACTGCATTCCCAGGAAAATTCTTTCGTTACATACATATAAAACAATAAATCAATGCAATCATATCTACAATATAAATACAGAACAATCCAATCCATTGTACAGTAATGGATCGAGTAAATCAAAATCAATACTAAAGCAGTAAGTATAGCAGTAGATGATAAACTGAATAAATTTTGATATTTTTTTATTAACCCCTCAAAAAACAAAATAGATATTTTTTTCATCCACTTTTCGAGTATCTCTGTCATTGATTCTTTCCACTAACTCTCAACTTAAATCATTTCTCTGGAACATATTCAATCAGGAACATTGTTACATAACCCTTCAAATTGATAAGAAATATGGTTACCATTCAAGTGAATTTTTTTTTTTTAATTACAGAAAACACTTGTTCTTCAACAATTTTAAAGATTTTATTGAGAAATGTTTGAGATTTAAATTTAATTTAATTCTACAAAGATACCACCTAAATGAAAAACGTGTAAATAGCTTAAAGAAATGAACTCACTGTGTTAAATGTTGGTTTATTTGTAACCTCCAAGTAGAAATCTTCTTTTTCTGTTGTTGGGAGAAAGCTTCATGATGTAATATGGTTTCAAGTAAATTTAGAAAAACTGATGGAGCCTCCTCTTCAATGCAGTTGCCAACCATTAGTTGTGTACAAACTGAAAAACATTAAATAAAAACAATATTCAAAGCTAAAGAATATACTAATTTTGGACGAGCCGAAATCGGTTTAGTATAAACAATCAACGTAATCATATAAAATAACTTTTCTGCCACAGCTAAAAGAGATGTCTAATCAGCCCTATCATTGTAATACTTACAAATTCAACACTAATTCATGAAAACAAAAAATATTAAATAAATATCAAATATTTATATTTATATGATATTTCGTCTAACATTTAAATATTTCTTACATATAAATATGAGTGATAAATATTCAAGACACAGTCATTATGAAGTTTTTATTGGTGCCGATGTTTCAATCCAAACATGTGGGTCATCCATTCAGTGCTCGAAATACACCTTATGATGACCCATATGTTTGGGTTGAAACCTCGGCACCAATAAAAACTTTATAATGACTGCGTGCTGAATATTTATCATCCATGATATGTAGAACAGTCGACTAACTTCCTTCAATAATTACATATAAATAATATAAAAATATGAAATATTTAATAATTAAAAAATTGTTACTTATACAGGGATCAATATATTTTCTTGAAGATTTATTATTGTTCATAGATAATCTTGTGAGAATCCAAAACTCTTATAACAGCTTTCATATCTTTAATTACCAATGTAATAAAAATGTTTTTTTGTCAAATTAAAATGTATGTTTATATGATAAAAATCTTGAATAAGAAATAAAACATATATTATTCCAATACCTTTTCCTAAGACTCTTGTAAAAGCAGAAGGAATGTCATCAAAGGAAGGTCTTTCTTCCTCAACATAAGATTTAATAGGAGTCGATAAAACCTGGCGTAACTCATCCATTACTGTAAGTAAGTGCCCTCCATTCATAACATCCTATAAATAAAAATTATAAACTGTAAACATTTTCTTACCGAATATGACTGCAACATTGTCATTCGTAGACTACGCCACACCTTAAAAACTGAAATTTCAAATTATAACCAAATTGTAAAACAAAGCATATAAAGGTTGTGCAAAATAGATAGACATAGAATATTTGAATTGAAGAAGCAGAATGAGTTGAATCACGAATCCTTAAAACAAACATCGAATTGTATGATTCACCCAATTGGAAATATAATTATAATTACAAATATAAAATGATTTTATAAAGTTGTTATGTCAGGCTGGATTGTGAATAAAGGTCATTGAGAATTTAGCATTTCTGGGATAGACTAATACCTAAATGATAGAATTATTAGTATTTACGTTTAAGACAAAGAAACCTGCTGATTGCTTCAATTATCATGAAAATGTAAATATTAGGATCAGGATCATTAGGTTTGTCACTTATTAATACAGATCGATTCCTATGACAGAGATTTTGGGAGAAAAATACAGTTTTGGAAACAACTATAAGAAAAATATTGAAAAATCATTATTTTTATTATTTAATTTTTTTTTTATATAGAAAAGGTATATTTAGGCAATTATTTTTGTTATAATACCTCCCAGTTAATGGAAAAACAAGAAAAAAAAAAAGCATTGAAAGAGTTAATTGTAGTAATTTATGCTGAAAACACTGGTATTTTTAGGTGCCAGAAATGTAAAATTGCATAGTTTTTTTTACATATCTTGAGATTAATCTCAAGTTTTTCCCTAACAAACCTCAACTTATTTACTATGGGCTTAAAGCTCATTAAACGAGGAAGTTTTTCTAAAAATGGGGTATTTGTTGTAGTAGTAGGATGATGATAAAAAAAAATCTCGAATAATTTATAGCTTAGCTTAGTTTAGCCACTCAAAAGTCCTCTTTAAATAGTTTTAACAATAAGAAACACTACCTCCATTTGAAGTAAATTTTGTCTAGTTTACAATGAAGCAATTGCTAATTACTTAAATTAAATATTTCTTTTTATAACTTCTTAACACACTTAAAAAAAAACAACTAGATTTCCTACTTTTCTGCTGAAAATTGCCCTATTGTTTGTATACAATTTTTTGTAGCTTTTGAGGTCTGCTATCACTTCTTTAAAAATATTCCTCTACTTTCATGCACCTACGAAGGAGAAGAGTGAGGAAGAAAAAAACATTTTCTATGATGAGTTAGATAGGTCTTTGGTGGCTAGTACATCCTCGGATATGAAAATAGTTCTGGGAGACTTTAATGCTCAGGTTGGGAAAGAAAGAAGTTTTATGTCTATTATTGGAAAAAATAGTTCGCACACCAGAACAAATGAAAATGGAGTGTGAATGATAAATTTTGCAGCATCCAGAAGCTTGGAAATATAAGCACAATATTTCCCCACAAAGACGAACATAAACAAACGGTCACTCACCAGGTGGAATATTTACTCAAATTGATCACTTGCTAGTCTCTAGTAGGCATTTTAATGAAGTCAATGATGTTAGATCATACCAAGGAGTATATGTGAACTCTGATCATTTCCTTGTCATAGCAAAAATTATCTCCAAGATAACCTACATATCCCACAGACACATCAATAAATCAAGCAAGTGGACAAGAGAGAAATTAAGGACAGAGAACACAAGGAAGCAATATAACATTTACATTTCTGCTCATATATAGAACAGTAGAGGAAGATTATGAGGGCAGATTGTTGGATTATTGGGGAAGTTATAAAGGCAAATAGAATTGTTGGTTTTATTATCATTACATTCAGATAGGTGGACATTTTAAGTTCCTTGTTGAACACTTATTGATAAGTCTATACTTAATAAAAAATATTCTTTTTTTTTTGGAAGGGAGAAGGGGAAGAGAAAGGGAATAATTACGCATAAAATAATCTGGAAATATGATATTTCTACTTACCCTTTCTAAAGCTGCAAGAAGATTAGCACGTTCTCTTAGTTTAACAATACTTAAGATGATTTTTCTTCTTGCACCTTGGGTCACAGGTAAACCAGCCTCTAGGTATGTATCAAAGTTCTCATCAGTGATAGAAAGAATCTGTTCATAGCTCAAGTGACAAAAGAGTCTCCAATACTTATGCAATCGAAGTGATTTTAACCAATTTTTTACATCTGAGTAAAAAAATATCGTTGTTACTAATGAAATCAATTCATAGAGAAAGAAAATGAATAAACAAAAATATACCTCTCATTTCAGGACTGTCATAGCCGGCAAGATCTAGGTGTGTTTCAGATCCACTGCCAGATGAAGCCTGAGATGACTGAGGTGAAAGAGGAGGACCGACTATTTGTTCAGAAGACAATGAGAAACGCCTAGCCTTACCTCCACCCATTGAAAGATCGTCCTAATTTTAAAAATAATCCTTTTTTACAAGTACAGTTAAATTTAAAAAAAAAACTAAAACAGAGAATGGGAGGAGGTGGATGGGGAAGGATAAGGCTTAGTAAATAAAATATTCACATCAATTCTCATTTTTTTAAATTATATTTTTACTTCAAAGGAACTTCTTAAAAAAAAAACAGGTCTCGCAACAAATAATAATACCAAAAGTAAACATACATTACTAAAAAAGATTTTAAGCTTGAATAAAATTATCCAATAACCTTCTTAAAAATTAAAAATGTATAATGTAAAACATTATATTTGATAATCTTTTTATTAGATTGGTCTATACATGTCATAATGTGCCATGATTTACCAACCACTTAAAATAAACTCTATATCATAATCCCTAACCTACATAAAAACAGTATTTCTTGTAGTGTAGTACATAAACTAGAACTACTTTCACTTCATTAAGACCATCAAAATAACACAAACCCTATTTATTATTTGTTTATTGTAGCCAATACAAACCTCGTAACTGCATTAGTCTATTTGATAAATAACTCCAGTTTCTCAGCTCTATAGACAAGGAGAGATTTAAAAGTACCATATGTTTAATTATGAAGAAGTAAGGATTGTACTACATTGTAAAAAATAAAGGAATTAAATCTCAATAACTTTTTACATTTATTGAAGTTCATATTTTTTACCCTTGGAAAATTGATCAAAATATATCATCGATAGGTCAAAAGTTGTTGTACTAATAATGTTATGATTTCACAAAGGAAGATTTTTTCCTTCTCCTGCCTCTTGTCCCGGAACTTAAAAATTAGAATCTATAAAACAATTATCTTGCCTACAGTTCTTTATGGATACGAAACTTGGCCGCTTACATTAAGGGATGAGCAGCGTCTTAAGGTTTTTGAAAATAAAGTATTGCGTAAAATATTCGGACCGAAGAAGGATGAGTTAACCGGAGAGTTCAGACGGTTACACAACGCCGAATTGCATGAGCTGTATCCGGGTAATATAATTGAGGTAATTTCATCGCGGCGAATCAAATGAGCTTGTAAAGTTGTTGGGCTTAGTAACGAGAGAATTCCTAAAAGATTAATATTTGCTGTGCCGAATGGTAAGCGTTCGAGGGGTAGACCGAAGCGAAGGTGGGAAGATTGCATTAAAGCCGATCTGAAGGGACTGGGTTTGGACGGCAAACGGTGGAGGGAGATGTGTAACAAGCGATTGGTGGTGTCGGCATCGAACCTTCGGGTTCGCTAAGCCTTATTATTATTATTTATTATGTCTTTCTTTCTCTTTTTCTCTCTTTTTATATATAGTAAGTGTAAGTATTGCGATCGTGAAAATTTTTGAATCTGTTTTCAAGGAAAATACACGTTTTGAGGTCCCCTGGGTCCAAATAATCAAGTCCCAAAAAATAGTCTGTGTCTGTGAACAGTTTAGCTCAAAAACGAAAAGTAATATGAAACTGAGATTTGTATTTTGAGATATTTATAGTTTTTTGAGATATTATAACGGAGAATGGCGAAAAAATTATAAATAATAATTTTTGAAAACTGATAATATTTAATGTAAATCACATGTTTTCGAGGAAATTAAATGAAATTTCCTAACTAAATGTAAACTTTAAAAAATATGTTTACGTTTGCAGAAAGTATTTAAAATCTTCCTAATCAAGGCAATGGCATTGTTAAAAATACTATTTCATTATACTTGTATGAAAGAAGAAGTAAAATATGAAATCGTTTCATGGATGTATAAAGCATATGTTCATAACATTAAATATATTTACTGTAGTTTAGTGATTATAGATGTGATATTATATTTAAATAATTAGGTATCAACGTTTATTCCAAAAAATTGTCATGTAACTTTTTAGAAAATTAAATTAGATAATAATTTGATGAATTTTACCTTTGTGAAATCCCAACATTATCATGTCTTCCTCTGAAGTACGTTTAATTTGGTTTATTATAAATAATAATTATTTATCATTGTTAGGAGTTATGAAAAACTGCTAAATATAACTTTTGGAAGAATTTGATAATTAAATAAAGGTGAAAAAAATACAAATACTTATAAAAGTCAAAAATGAATCTCTGGAAATACTGGTCAGAAGATATACGTACAATATATCGTTGGAAAGCGGGGAATTTTAGAAAAACAATATCTAATATAGACAGTCGTAGAAGGTAACGAAGAGCGGCGAAAAATATATAAATAATAATATGTTTTAAAGGAAATTAAATGAAATTTTTTTACTAAATGTAAACTATTAATTTTTTTTAAAGTTTGAAAAGTATTTAAAATCCACGGATTCAAGGCAATGACATTGTTTAAGATACTATTTCATTGAACTTGTGTGAAAGAAGAAGTGAAATATAAAAATATTTCATGGATACGTTTATAACCTTAAATACATTTACTGTAGTTTAATAACTCTAGATCTGATATTATTTTTAAATAATTACGTATTTATCATCCGTTTATTCTGAAAAATCATTATATAACCTTTTAGAAAATTAAATTAGTGAATAATTAGATAAATTTTCCCTTTGCGATATTCCAACAGAATCCAATTACAATTAGTGTAACAACTTTTGACCTGTCTATGACAGACAATGCGAATCTCTCAATTCAATTTTAATAAACTTTGTAATGGAAAACAACAGTTTAATAACTAATAGTCATACAATCCATAATCAATGAATCGCAGAATCCATAATCAACCGATGATATAATAAATAGGACTTTTGTTATTTTATTAGTATTTTTGATTTGTTAGCTGCAATCTTTTAGCTTTAACTCAGAGAAAAATGCATTTCAAAAATTTTATAATAGCCCAACATGGCCAGAAAATAATTTCTATTCAAAGTAGAGCGGTAAGTGAAAGCTGTGTGTTGCGCGCCAAGGCTCTCTCTTTCTTCCCAACTTCCAAATCTCTCTTCATATTTCCTTTCCGTTCATGGTATTCTACCCACTGTTCGGATGTGATTACACTTGGTATTATCTCTCTTCATTTTTTTTATCTTAAATTTCTTGAGGTTCTGGCAAGAACAGTACTCTTTTGAATTGACTTGGTATTAAGTTTGTAACTTTATTTATTATAAATTGGTATGCATTTTTTTGTAATTGCATGGCCCTTACCATTAAACATTATCATAAAGCGAATTATATAGACTTAACCGAAGCATTACAGAAGGATTTATAATTTTTATCCATGAATCATACGGCCTGAGATGTCAAAAATTATTATCATTACAAGTTCTTGCGATCAGAATTAAATAAAACATCCAAGGGTACTACTTTTTTAATATTTACTAACCAATCAATCTTAAAAATTAAATAAAAATAAAGAAATGATTAAGTATTAGACATTGGTGTCTATTACTAGTTCTAATGCTTAAATGCTGTTCTAGTAATGTACACCCAAGTTTAGGGATTAATAGGTTATTTTATATAATTTAAAACAATGAAAATAAATTCTGTACTGTTTTTAATTAAGAAACAGAAAAGTACCATTTGATAAATTAAACTTATTCCAAATTATGCATACAATTTCAAAGTTATCTTCTTAACAAAAGTGATAAAGCAGTCTCTATGTGACAAACTCTAAGTCTTGTTTTATTAAACAATGAACTGCCAAGCGGCCATTAGAGCATGAAATAAGCTGTTGTTTAGATATCACCTTTCTGAGTATGCCAGCTGAAAACCTATTTGTACTTAAAACCTCTAAAGTGTGCAAAAAGCTCATTAATTGTTCATGAATTTAAAAGTGCCTATTGCTGGTAACATTTACCTTATTACTTTTAATTGCTACAGCATCTTTATCAAAGATACATATATCATCATACTACTTATTACTTATCACACTACAACATAAATGTGTTGAAGTAATAATCGTAATAATAATAATTCACTTCTGTAATATACTTTCTTAATTTCAATGGATAACTATTGATCAGCTATATTGATGGTTTAATTAATTTGATTGTTTTAAACTTATTCTCAAGCTTTGATATATTTAAACTAAAGTTAATATCTTGCCTATTTATTAACATACTAAAATTATCAGTAAATACAACATTGTAAGAAACATTCCAAAGTACTCACAACAAAACTCAAAATAGGTACACCCCATTAATGTTTCTATTAATCTAAGCCAAAGGAAAAACTGAGTCAATACAGGATCGACAAGCTAGATACTTGGCTAGTAGAAAATGAAAATTGTTATTCTAGAAGTTTAAAAATTTCTTATACAATACTACAAACATGAATAGAGCATAAGTCATAAAGATATAAAGGTATTGCCATTTCATTCCGAGGAATACATTAAGTTTGAAGTTCAGTGAAATTGTGAAATAAAATCCAAGGGGGAAAAAAACTTTACCAAATATTCTGTTACTTTGGGCTAAATCAAATGAGTTGTTTTTGAAATATAGTCGTGTCAAGGAAAATACATTTGCAAATATGTAAGTGAAAGCATTTTTTGAAAGTAATGAATGAAATTTAATATATCAACAAATATAATAACTACTCAATCATATTTTTACCAAAGCCAAACTTCCCTAATTATCTGAAAATTATTAAACTGTTATTAGCTTTTTTTTTTTTTAATAACAAGATTCTATTATAATAATTGAATATAAATTTTATTAATAATATCAATATAGCAATCAACATTAGGTGGTGGTCATCAACTCCCACTCTGATCTAAACATATTTATCTGATAAGTAGATGCCAGTCACTTCATTGTATTCCACTCTGTTTCCACTTTTTTTTAATCATGTTTATTTTTATTTCTATATTTCTGTCACCTGTGTTTTGTCACATTTCACTAAAATAAATTTCTATTTTAATAATAGCATTTTAAGTTTGATTTGTATAGACTTTTTAATTTTTACAACTATTTTTCATCTTAACGTAGAAACTCATGTCACCCGATTTTTTATTAATTATTTTTCAATTTATGTCACGCCAATCATCAGTCGCTATAACCCATGATGAATTTTATGATTCTTTCCTTCACAACTTTTACCATTTAATTGCAGTCTCTGAAACCCGGCTAAAGCCCTCAATCCTGACTTCTCAGATTTCTCTACCAACTATACTTTCCTTTGTCATGACAGAGTGGACCGAACAGATGGTGGCAATGGCCTCTTTGTTCATGACTGCCTTAAATCCAAAATCCTCAACTGCTCGACCAATTCTACTCACCTCGAATATCTGTTTGTAAAATCCTCACCATCTCGTCTTCCCTTCTCTTTGCTGTCATCTACCATCCTCCTAGAATTCCTTTTGATCAAGTGTTTGATACTATTATCTCGATCATAGAGGCCTTAAGTCCACGAAATGAGACATGTATTCAATGACAGTACTACAATTAACGTAAGGCTACGTGGATGTCAACCCTATGCCTTGCGTTATCTCGAAAACGCAGAGCCCGAAATTTCCGAGGGAACTATCCGGGTCTTGTTGTATACATCAAAATTTTCAAAGCGCAATTTATCCTGTATCGATCTACAGACTTACCACTGTTCTAGTATTGAAGCCTAGCAAAATGTTTGTATCGACTTTATTTATTTTAGAAAGAAAAACAAAAGTGGAGAAAATGATTGGCTAACCCCTTCCCCCATGAAATTCTGAATCCAACAGTACCCCATTCATGGTATTTGAGTATGACAGGAGCTTATATTTGGTACAAAACCGATTTCGAGCCTTACTGTAATAATATATGTGGGGATAAACCAAATTAAAGATACTTAGGAGAAATACATGATAATTCTGGGATTTCCCAAAGGGAAAATTTATCAAATTATTCGCTTATTTAATTTAATAAAATGTTATGTGACAATTTTTCGGAATGAATGGACGTTGATACCTAATTATTTAAATATATAAACATATGCTTTATACATCCATGAAATGATTTTATATTATACTTCTTTCATACAAGTATAATGAAATAATTTTTTTAACAATGCCATTGCCTTGATTAGGGAGATTTTAAATACTTTCTGGAAACATAAAAATATTTTTTAAAGTTTACATTTAGCTTCCTTGAAAACTTGTGACTTAAGTTAAATAATGTTAGTTTTAAGAGATTACTATTTATAATTTTTTCGCCACTCTCTGTTACCTTCTACAACTTTCTATATTAGATATTGTTTATTCTAAAATCCTATGCTTTTCAACGATATATTATACATATATCTTCTTACTAGTACATCCGGAGATCCATTTTCGACCTGGATAAGTATTTTTATTTTATTCTCCTTTATTCAGTTATCAAATTCTTTTAAAAATTATATTTAGCAAATTTTCGTTACTCTTAATAATCAGAGATAGTTAATTATTTAAAATAAACCATATTAAAGGTACTTTAGAGGAAGACGCATATGAACATTGGTCATCTAAGCCCTGTAGTGACATCAACAGGGATAATCACAATCGTTAGAGTCGTTTTTGAGGAAAAATTGCAAAAATGTGTTTCACCATTGGTATAAAGTATCACTTCCGGTTAGCTGATTTTAGTGAAAAAGTTCCTGCGACATCTAAGGCATATACCTATCTTAAATACGTAATATCAGTTTCTTACGACTTTTCATTTTTGAGCAAGAGTGTTCACACACACACACAGACCATTTTTCGGGACTTGGTTATTTGGACTCAGGGTACCCCAAAACGTGTATTTCCACCCTAAAACAGTTCAATCATCTACGTTATCTCCTTCCATATAAGTCCTGTCAACTCCTGGTTTCCTCTCTTGTTTTTCCCCCACTTTGACTATGATTGTATGGTATATTTCATGAGCTCTTGGCTCATTTGTTGCACTCCTTTTTATTTGCATTATTAGTTCTTCTTTTTATCAATAGTTTGAATTGTTTTGGAGAATTTCCTTTCTTGTTTAATTGCAATGATGGATGAAAACAGAAACAGAACGAGAATCTGATCAGGAAAGATATATCAAAAGCTGCAGTTCAGCAGGCAATCTGAAGATCAAGAATGCGAATGGTGGGCATGAATAGATTTGAATTTAAGGATATTCGAGGCATATGGAGAATTCCACTGGGATAACTTGGTAGAGGAATGCCAAGAGAAAAGACTGTTTTATCTCTTCATGAAATTATAAGATAATTAATCAAACATTTTAGTTTGACTTCAAAATGGCCAGACACACCCCAATATTGTTATCAAAGTGAAGTAAATTTTCAGGAGGTAAATAGGAGCCTTCAGGTTTCAACAGAAATAGTTAAAATAAATAATTTAATTATTTTAAGATGGAAAGGATATAACAGTAGCATAACTTCAAGAGATTAATCGCAAGTAACCTAAATATAAAGAATATTTCATGAAATAAAATAAAAGCTTTTTGCCACATCAACTACTCTAGCATTATAAAAAGTCATCATAAATTGAAAAAATAAATATAAATTTATCTGGTTACCTGTGATGACCATTCAACATTTGGAGTTACAGCAAAAGGTGGGGTTAGACTATTGCTACGTCTGGTTTTTTGAAGTGATTCATTGCTCAGTGTCATACCTAAAAAAAGAAAAGTTCATTTAAGAACCATAATGATAAAGTATGCAAAAATCGAATTAGAACATAAGTATTGTCAACTGCATGCTAAATAATCCATAGTACAGGTCCCTTTTTATGAAATTATTAACATCCGCCTAAAACTTCGTGAGTAGCTTCATTTTGTCAAACCCTACAAATATTTTATCGACGAAAATTCACGGAATTGGGACATTTGGCATGACCTACAACCCCAACATATTGTCAGAAGGACATTGTGAAAATTTATGAACATCCAGCTGATTTTCACATTAATGGTTAATAAAGATGAGTACAATCAAATGGTCATAGTGGCCTATAAAAATATTGTGGTGTTTGGCACGACCTACAACCCCAACATGTCATCAGAACGACATTGTCAAAATTTATGAACATCCGTAGGCCATGAAGCACAAAAGTGAGCTATTTTGAGATAAAATAATGTAGTGGCCTATAAAAACATTGGGACGTTTGGCTCAACCTACAAAAATAAGACATAATTATTTTTCTACCAAACCTTTTGGTCACCACTGCTGGAAGTGAGTTTTGAAAAGCTGAAAATGGTGTTAATCTGTTCATTGGATGCAGATAAAAGTATCGTAAGTTTGCCCCATACTAAGAAGGGGACCAAGGCGGAAAGGGAGATGAATATTCAAAATTCTCATATTTTTTTCAGTTTATGACCTATAACTTTTAAACCAATAAAAAATTTATTCTGTTATCAATTAAACAATATTGAATTCTGTGTAAAATGAGTACCTCAAACATCGGATTCCGATAGGCAGAATAATCAAAATGTCCATTAATAAAACATGTGATCTACGAAATTTCTTTAAACCTTTACCCTTTACAGGCATTGTCAGTCTTTTTTTTTTTCTTCTTAAAAGCAGCTATTATGGATGAAAACATATTGAATACAAGTTGTAGAGAATAGAATTTTGAATATAATGATATATTTTTTTAAATTTCAAATTGAAATTAAGTAGAAACATTCCGTCAAATGTTTAATAAAAGTGGCATAATTAGATGTGAGCCATTCTTAAAGTGAGTAATAATTTCATTAATACAAATGTTGTAGAACTGATGTTCACATTAATATTTTTTTTCTCTACCTTACGTACGACAGAAATTTAAAAAATTTAGAATTTCTATACTTTACATAGATTGAACTAAATAAAAAAATATTTTCTACATGTAATTAATGAATGCATCAGTCTACAACTTTCACTCTCATCTTTAATGCATTCTTTGCCTATATTTAAGATCTTATTTTGATTAGTTTAGTGTTTTTTTTGTTTATATACATTTACTTTTATTATTATTGTTTTGCTGTTTAATTTATTTCTATTGAGAGTCTGAATGAACTACTCTATCACTATTGCTAATAACCTTAATTGTGACAGAATGTAATATTATTCAATTTCAAAGAAATGTTAAAAAGAAAATTATTAGATTATATATATATATATATATTGATTATAAAGTTTATTTCGGGATTACTGTGAAAAAATCGTCAAAGGAAAAATTTATTGAAAATTATAATTATTCTATCATTGAAATAGATTTTAGCCACCATCTATTGCTTCGCTGACGACACTGCAATTCTTTCTTCTCACAAAAATCCAACTATCGCATCAATTGCCCTTTAAAACCACCTATATGATCTTCAAAACTGGTTTGAGAAATGGAAAATTATAATTAACAATAGCAAATCCAATCATGTAACTTTCTCTCTTAGGAAAGCCTCGGGTCCATCCATAACAATTGACAATAACCCAGTGCCTTAAAAAAACTGTACATCGGACTCTACTTAGACAAAAGACTTACCTGGAACATACATACTAAATTAAAAAGGCAAGAACTGACTAGGCGATATAACCAACTCTCATATCTTCTAGACTACAGATCCTCACTTAACTTACAAAATAAGCGACTGATCTACAACACCATCTTGAGACCAATTTGGACATACGGAGAACTTTGGGGTTTGGCAAAACAAACACATAAAAAAAATACAAACAACATAATCCAAAATTCTAGATAAATTGACAACGCACCTTGGCGCATTTCAAATAACACTATACATAACGACTGAAACATCCCAACAGTAAAATTTTTACTAGTGTTGTTTTTTTGTTTTTTTTAAATTAGTAACCAGGGGAGGGACTGGCTCTAACCGCATACAATGTTAGATCGACGAAAGCCATATTTCTTTTAAATATTTCTTTACAACCTCTTTTTTTCTCGAAATCCTGACTTTTTCTTGTGCAAACAATTTAATGTGACCTAAATTAATAGAAGCAAACATAGAATTTGATATTAAATACTAAGCAGGGAATAAATTATATGTTTTATATTTATCAATCAAGACTCAAATAATGCAAAATGTTGACAAACTATATATGTTAACGATGTATTAAAGCCAAGTCATTAATACAGTCGATAACATTAATAATTTTCTTATAATTCATTATTAAATGTACGAAACATAAAAAAAAATTATAATAAAGAAGAGACAATATGGAGGTTTAAGTTGTTTTATCAATTTCACATTGTTTTGATAATTCTAAAAACCAATAATAAATTGTAGAAACTTAAAATGAAATCATATTCGATATCAATCATTAAAAAATATTTTCAGAAGTAGTAATGTATAAATTGCTATTGGTTATCAATTAATTTGTTGTTTATGAAATTATTATAAACATTGTATAAATCATCGCCAGGTTTCGATGATGGACTGGGGAATGGGGTAAGATTTACAGGAATAGAAAATTTATTTATTGTTCTTTAATATCACAAGCTCTAGAATTAAATGCGGAATGGTGCTAATTATCAAATAATGTGCATTTGAAGATATATAAGACTAATTAACAATTAATAATGCTTCTATTTATTTTCTTGAGTCTCGATAATTTATTATTGGTCATTAAAATAAAGAGAATCTGATTATAATTTGTTTTTAAATGTTTGGAAATGTTAACAAAACAAATTCAACCCTGAATCGGTCTATTGGACATAGTGATTTTATAATGTTTGAAGCAATTTTTACTGAAAGTATAATTCCATTAATTTTATCCCTTTAATATTTCTGTAACCATTGATTTTATCAAGGAAATGAATTAAACAATTTTTATTAATATTTTAAAATACTTTAATTTGTATAGAATGATATTTGTGTCAAACCGTATCGTTACTGAGATATTCACAAAAAACTGAAAAAAATAATTAGTTATTGTCCTTCTTAAAAACTATTGTCTTCCCCATAAAAACTCGACCCGGGAATCTTCGGAAATTTTTACAAACTATTACAAGAAGGGTCTTAAACAACGTTTGAAAAAATTTAACTTTCTTTTTTTTTTTGGATGCACTGGCTACTTAGCAAACTGTAATAAATACGTGGATATATACTTTTTTCGAAAACGCACCAATATTTTTGCAAGCCACTATGGCCATTACATTGCACTCATATTTTTTAACCATTGATGTGAAAATCAGCCAGATGTTCATAAATTTTCACAACGTCGTTCTGACGGAATGTTGGGGTTGTAGGTCATGCCAAACAATACGATGAAAAAACTCAAGCATAAAGGATTAGAACCAATAAGAAGCTATATGATTTCTTCAATCATAGTGAAATTGTGAGCTTTATAAAATCAAGGTGGATTGAATGGCTGGGGCACGTTCTTAGAATGGCAGATGAGAAAATCCCCAAAAAGATGCTCCAAGACAGAATTTATGGTGTCAGAGGAAGGGGAAGGCCAAGAAGAAGGTAGTTAGAGGTTGTAGAGGAAGACCTCAGGCGGCTAAGAGTTATAAACTGGAGGGAAAGGCAAAGGACAGGGACATCCAGAGATCTGTTGTTCTGGAAGCCAAGGTCCACCCTGGGCTATAGAGCTATCGAAGAAGAAGAGAACTTGAAATATTATTTTTATTGCAAATAAGTATAAAATGTCTATAGTAATAAGTCTGATATAATAGGAATACAAAAAAATCTGGTGCGCGCAACATACAACTTTCACTTACTGCTCTACTTTGAATAGAAATTATTTTCTGGCAATGTTGGGCTATTATAAATTTTTTGAAGTGAATTTTAAATAGAGCTTATATTATATAATAATTATTAATTAATTAATATTTATATATTAATATTAATTATATAGAGCTCATATATTAATTATATTCTTAAAGCATACAAATAACAAATTAAGACCATTATAATTACAAAAAGTCTATTTATTATATCGATGGTAGGCAATACAAATCTAGTCACTCCATCTGCTTTTATAAACCACACAACTTCAGTCTCTGACCCTTTCAGTTGACAGAATGACTAACTCCAATTTCAACATTTTTGAGTAATGTCATTTTAGTGATATCTCTAGTTGAAAAAGTTATCTATACAGACAGTGAGTAAGTTGATTCCAGAGTAGGTGATTGCAGTGTTAAAATATATAACTGTGAATAAAGGTATAAATTTTGCCACTATAAACATCAATAAAATTAATAATAAATAATGTTGAAATTGGGGTTAGTCATTCTGTCAACCGAAAGATTCATATACGTCTAGAGAGGTTTGAAAGTATATCTGAATATTTAACCTATAAATGATTATGGATTGTAGGACTATTTTGTCAGTGACATTAAGTGGATAATGTTGGGATTTCACAAAGGGAAAATTCATCAAATTATTCACTAATTTAATTTTCTGAAAGATTATTTGATGGTTTTTTGGAATAAACGGTCTATAGATAACTAATTATTTAAATATAATATCTTATCTAGAGTTAATACTCTATAGTAAATATATTTGAGGTTATAAACATATCCATGAAATATTTTTATATTTCACTTCTTCTTTCACACAAGTACAATGAAATAGTATTTTTAAAAATGGTATTGGCATTATTCGGTGGATTTTAAATACTTTTTTCAAACCTAGAAAATCATTTAAAAGTTTACATATAGTAAGAAAATTTTATTTAATTTCCTTGGAAATGTGTGATTTACGTTAAATGATGCTAGTTTTCTAAAATTATTTATAATTTTTTTGCCACTCATTGTTACCTTCTACAACTTTTTATATTGTTTTTTTATTATTTTTTCTAAAATTCTCAGCTTTCCAACGATATATTATACTTATACCTTCTGACTAGTAATTTTCTGAGATTTATTTTCGACCCGGATAAGCACATGTATTTTTTTTTTCCTTTATTCAATTATCAAATTCTTTCAAAATTGATATTTAGATTTTTTTTTTTTACAATGATACACTGAGTTTAATAAAAATCGTTAGAGCTGTTTTTGAGAAAATTGTATAAATGTGTATCACCGATGATATAAAGTGGCACTTCTGGCTAGTCGATTTTAAGGAAGTTGATGCCACATCTTAAATACATAATTTCATTTTCGTACTAATTTTTGATTTTGAGCTAGACTGTTCACATACAAATAGACCATTTCTTGGGACTTGGTTATTTGGACTCAAGTGACCTCAAAACATGTATTTCCGATGAAAACTCAGATTCAAAAATTTTCCCGATCTCAATACTTGCCCTTACTTTTTATTACATATATTGGTAAGTGAAAGTAAAAAAATCGCAAGGAACATGGTTAACAAAAAAAAAGATGGTTAAGCTTTACCAATCTTGAAAAAATAAGGTTGTGAGGCCGATATATCGATCTTTGAAATATAGGTATCTGTTCAAATTAAAGAAAGGAGAGGTTCGATAACAAAAAAAAACATAAATACAAATATTGGCACATTTATTAGCAATAAAACTAATATTTCAAGTATGAATCTTGATAAAATAAGGTCATAAGGCCGATATATCTGTCTTAGAATATCAGTATCTGCTAAAATATTGGTGAGAGGATCAAAAAATAAGAAAAAATTGTTTGTGTGAGTATATATATAGGTATTTAGAATATTGGTATCAGCTAAAATTTAAAAATAGATCTAACCCTCGAAGGTTGTTCAATACTTTCATTCAGTAATTTTTGATGTAACGTATGGAATTAGACATATAGGAACTGAAGGCCAATATTCTGAAATATAGGTTTATTGGTCAAGTTGTGTATAGGGCGATGCATAAATGGTCTATTCTTTAATATAGCAATAAGTAGAATAATCTATTTGAAACCATACAAATCTTGACGGAAAATGAAAAAAATTACGATGTGGCCGATATATATCAGCCTTTGAAATATCAGTATTGGTTGATCACTAATAATATGTGAATGCGGCTTAAAATTTAAATGTTTCAAAAAATAGGACAGAAATCTTATAACTTTTTTTTCCTCCACTTCGTTATCCCAGGTCTTCCTCGTCTTCTTCTTTCCCTAGTTTTCCATAAGTGGACTTCTTTTCATTGGGTAGTCTACCTTCAGGCATTCTTTTCAAATGTCCATACCATTTCAGGCGTTTTATCTCAATCTCTTCCAGAATGGTTCTTTTAGCCTCATTCTTTTCTCTGATGGTCGTATATTCTGATTTTATCCATTCTGAATATTCCCGTCGCTAGTCTCCAATAGTCCATTTCGGTGGCTAGAAGTTTCTTCCTGAGGTTGCTTTATATGATCCATGTTTCTGACCCATATGTCATAATGCTCAGTACTATACTATTATAGATGTTTTTTTTGTTTTGGAGATAATGTTCCGATTCCATAATAATGAGTTGAGCATTGATATGATCTTTTTGCCATCAGAAATTTTTCTTTTTATTTCCACATCACATGCAACATCTATTTCAATAACTAATATATTTAAAATGTTTAATTCTTTTTAGAACCCCTCATGGATTCAGTTCTATATCCTCATTATTGAATGTCATGTATTCTGTTTTCTCTGCATTAATAACTATCCCCACAGCTGATATTCCTCATTTAATTTTCTTAATATATATCCAGCATCTCCAGCAAAGATGACCTGGTCATACGTGAAGGATATGTTATAAAGGAACACCTTTTCTTTCACCTAAATCCCCATGGGTTCACATTTTATTCTCCATGCTTTCAAAAAAATGTCAAGATAAATCTTGAACAGAGAAGGAGAGGCACAGCACCCTCGGAGCAACCCTCTGCTTGTTGGGAAAGGCTCAGAAAGGTATGGTTTAATTTTTGTTTTCTTCGTACATTTATTACATCTATCAGACCTATATTAATGTTTGCATTTTGGAGGGCTTGCCATAATAGTGTTCGAGGGACACTGTCATACGCCTTCTCTAGGTCTATAAATATTAGTTCAATGTCTCTGAAAACGGCTTGGTGTTTCTACAACAATTACCTCAGGGTGAATATATGGTCAATGCACGATCTTCCTGCTATAAATCCACATTGGTCTTCTGAACCCTTACACCCATGCTCTAATTCATTTCTTATATTATTATCTTATACATAATATAAAAAATAACCAGTCTTGGATTAAAAATTCAATTTTCTTTTTTATATAAATTAAGTTATGGAAATAGGTACTAAAAACTTTTGATCTGCTTAGCACAGGCAAAAGTGTAAAAACAAAACATGAGAAATTAAGTAGTCCAATTGATTTTGAAATTGTATTCAATTTGAATACATTTTCTCCATTAAGTATTAATAAAAGAATTAAATCACTGTTTTTTTTTTCTCCCCTTCCTCACCTTTTCAGCTATACAAGATTTTTCTTGGGCCAGGGGAGAGGGCAGGGAACTATGCCAGAGTTAAAAATCCCCGGGCACTATGATTTGAACTCATAATCTTTGGTTTATCAGGTTGTAAGGCAACGCGTATTTTGCACACACATTAGCCTTCTCGCCCACTCTGACCCTGATCACCATTCATCTATTTTTAAAAGGAAAATACGAGCTTAGAGGCCAAGCTGTATGGTACAAACATAATTAGTTATATTTAAAAGTAAATAAGTCTTACAAGATCCTTTAGAGCCGGTCATTATCTTTTCTCCGAGTGTTCTTCTCCAAGGTTCAAAGATTCTGCAAAAAAAATTGAAAACTTAATCAGTTTTCTTTAAAAAAATGTGTTAATTACTAACAGATTGCATTTTCTATTCAAATTCAACCATTGCCAAGCCCCCAAAAATATAACCCTATCTATATCAATAGGAATTCTTTCTTCAAAATCAAGTTTTACTAAATTGGATTGTGGTATCACTGTTGAGTTGTTCCTGTTTCTCAACTTTTCATTATATACACCATCTTTTGTTTTTTAATATATAATAAACAAATAATAATTATATGTAAAACAGTATATTTGTAATTTTAACTTCATATTATTATTTTTTTGTATTACCAATGTTATTAGATTTAAATAAACTTAATGTTTTAAACACATCCCTAGTTTCATTTATTTTTCAATATAAAGCCTTATGCTCATAAAACTTTTAACCTAAAACCATTTCAAAACAAAATATCGGGTAATAATGTTGAGTTTTAAGTTTAATTTTGCATAGCCTGTTACCCTCGGAACAAAAAAAAAGTATAACATAATAAAACATAATAGCATGTACAAAATACAAAAACCTTAAAATTTTCAACAGTGATAGCTTTGTATAAATTTTATAGCATTAAGATAAGGAATCAAAATAAAATATGACTTTATTTTAATGCTGCCTAGTGTTTGAACCACAGCATTCTGGGTGTCAATGATTATAACTTTTATATGGTTACAAGTGGTGGATGGAAGTGAGGATGTTATTAATTTGATAGACATGGACTGACATGAAACAAAAAAGAATAAGGAAGGAAATCTTGGTAACCCTCTTTAAAATGTTCTACTAAACTAAACTGAATCAAAAAGAGATGTAAAATGTAAAATATTGGAATTGAAATCACTGGAATAATAGGACTATCATGAAAAAAATAGCACAATATGAAAATTATTTTGGGTGAGTCGAACGCTCAAATTGGGAAGGAATTCGAGTCGACTTCCCAATTCCCACAGTTGGACAGAATGGTATGGTATGCATAAAATAACTAACAATAATGGAGAAAGGCTGGCAAACATTGCAACATCTAAGTCCTCAGTAATTATGGCCTCCATCTTCCAACATAAAGATATATGCAAGCAAAGCTGTTGTTCCCCAGACTGGTCAAGCACAAGTCAAATTTATCATACCCTCACATCACGTAGGTATCTATAATATTATAACAGGTATAGTACAGCTATAGTATTATAGCAGTGTGAATGATGTGAGATCTTTTAGAGGCCCATATATAGACTATGATCAGTACCCAGGAGTGATGAAGCTAAATCAGTGCGTAAGAAGCGTCCATGAAGTAAAGATTAAGACGGAGAGAGCATTTCAAAAATCTATTGAGCCAGCTGAAGGGGAAGAAATTATTAAGACTAATAGGTATAAGAATGAAAAAACAAATAAAATTACCTAAATGCTAGCCTATGCAGATGTTGAAGTAATAATTGGACAATCCTTTCATTCTAGTATAAAAGATGCATATACTAAGTTAGATGAAGAAGCTAAGAAACTAGGACTGATGGTGAATCTGCCAAAATTGAAATTCCTACAATTGAGAAAAAAAGAAAGTCTGCCAACAGACGGAGTACTACACTATTTTATTGGGGACTACACTTTAGAAACTACGTAAATTTCAATCAATACCTTGGTTCTACAATCAATGAGAATAGAGAAATTAATAAAGGAATTATTTCTGGTTATAAAGCTTATTTCAGCCTCACAAATATTCTGAAAAGCAGACTGATCAGCCAAGTGACCAAGTTGAGGATCTATCAAACAGTGGATAATAAAAACAGTAATCACATATGCTGAAAAAACCTGGACATGAAACAGAACAGCTTCTGACAAAATGGATAGGTAGGAAAAGAGCCTAAGTGCAAAGAGGAAGTGGGGGACTTCGCCAACCAAGCATTATATGAGATATACAATGATATCAGCCTATCAAATTATATATGAGTTCAGTGCCTAAAATGGCTGGGTCACCTCCAGAGAATGAAGGATAACAGAGTAGCAAGGAAGATCCATGAGAGAACCTCCGGCAGAATAAGATCTACATACAATGTAATCTCAGGCAGTTGAGAATGAGCATCACACATGCACAAGATAAAAGATGGTTGAGTGCAGTTGATCAAGCCAAGGGCAGCTACATGCACCTGTTGTGCTTGCAGAGAAAGAAGAGAAAGAATAACAAAGTAAATCATTAATTACAAAGATTTATCAATGAAAATAAAGTACATCAAAAATATATTTATTATATTTAAGTAACTGTCTAAATGACTATCATGATAAAAATTAGTTGTGAACCTTCGATCGTCACGAAGAGCAGGATGTATCAAAACATATGAAAGTAGTTGCCGAGCTTCTTCAACTAAGACACCACTTTCAAGGGAATAAGATAATAAACTTGGCACCAAAGCAAGGTATACACAACGAGCTTCTGTATTGCCTGGTCTAAGAAGAGGAATATGAAGAAGAGTCTGAACCATAGCAGTCTCCTTTTTTTCAACAAGTAAGGAGCTAAGAAATCCTAAAAAATAAATAGATAAGTAAAGCAAAAATATATAAACTTAAAAATTATATTAAAAAACACCATTTATTTAATTTTTCTAAACTTATTTGCATCATTACATGGTATAATTCTAACTACAGTAACTTTTAGTTATACATTTTCAAATATGGAATATGCAGAACCTAATCAGGAGTCTTTAAACTACTATTCAGTTTATTTTGATTAATGGTAAAATTTATGAAGGAAAAAATACTACATAACAAAACATTAATACTAACATCCTAAAACTGTATCCTCGTGAAATTGCAACAAACTTTGGATAAACTGAAATCTGTCATAAATATGAATAATATAACTAATATAGGTAAATATTATAGCATTTGAGGCACCAAGGTTGAAGCTAAAGATGAGTACTGGTAACTAAAGTCTCAACAAAAAAGATTTGCGCCTCCTCATCTCTGCTGATAAGTACCCATCCCCAAAAACAAGGTCTTTGTGTAAGTGTGGAAAGAAATAGTAAACGCAGTCTATTTCAATATGGAAGTAAGGCAAAAGAGACAGGAACTCCCGCAATTTCAACCCCGGGTGATTCCTGGATATAAAAAAAGAAAAAGACTCCAATTTTACTTCTGTATATACTTATTACAATTCTGTACTGTCAAAAGACAAGTGAAGGAAAGGAAAATAAATAAAGCTAAATAATACATTTATATGAAGCAGTGAAGACTATGTTATGTATCCCATAATTCACTCCAATTCCTCATTATATCATTCTTGGTATTAGCTTTATTACAAAACCTTCTCAGTAACAGGGATTTATCTTACTTTAGGTTGCAGCTTTAGCTAAAGTCTAGGCTCTCTTATTCCGAATTTCGGCAGAGTATCCTCTTATCCAAAATATATTGATTAAAAAGGCCACAAAGGCTGAGCGTGTAGCAGTGTTGCCTGCTATAATATTCTCGAGTCTAGCGGTGCTAGTTTGAGTCCGGCTCGAGTGGTTGAAATTTATTACATGACGTGCTTAGAATTAATCTCGAAGGACCCACTCTGGTTGGAATAGGTTTAGTTTTAACTCCAAAACAACCATCTCAGACTTCCGTATCCCAATTATGGTTAAGGGAGCAAGTGAAAAAAAAAAATAGTAAGTTGATTTAAGATATTTACCATCCAAGCAATTCTAGTCTATTAATCTGTCAGCTGGGTATGTATATTAATTCTGGTCTATGACTTGATTAAAGTGATGAGTTTTAGTACCTATAATTGTAAAATACCTGGATTGTTTGCTTCTTGTTCTCTTAGTGCTAACTCAGCACATTCGGTAAGACTATGTTCAAGTGCAATAGAAACAAATCTTGCTTGTGTTGGAGCTAAACGTGTGAGCATTTTAAAAAGAGCTACTGTTTGTCCACTTTCATTCCACTGATCAAACCACATAACCATAGTATTTAACTGAGCTTGAAACATTGCCATAGTCATTTTTGCCTAAAATAAATCCAACATAATTATTTAATGACTGTAAAAATTTTTGAAACCAATACATTATTAAATAATTTTTTAACATCGAATATGTCTAATGGAAAAACTATAACGTTAAGTGCAATTATTATAAAAGAAATTTTAACTTACAGGATATAGTTAATGGCGTTTAACAAATTTGATTAGATTAGAATACTTCATATTACTCAAAACGAATACATGTCAACTTCAGAAGCAGTTTACCAGCGTTATCACTATTACCTTCAGGACAAGTAGAAACAATTAAAATCACAATCTTGGAAACAACCAACACCGAGGTAAGAATTAAGAACTCAATTGAAATTTCGTTTTAATTCGTAAAGAAAAGCTTAAAATTAAGTTATATTTTCTTTGTTTTAATGTATATACAGTTAAGATCAAAACTATTCAGACACCAGTTTTAAAATATATAAATTTAAAAATACTGTTGTTATTAGCAGGGATTTTTTGAAAATAATAAAACCATTTAATAATAATATCAATAATTTTATTGCAAATATATTTTTGATCATATAAACCGCATAATATTGCCTTATATTTATGCTTATAATTATTCAAAACAATCAATTTATAATAGCAGTCGAAAGTATTCCGACCTTTTTTTTTATAATTCTGTATTTACTCAATTAAATTTATTTATTTTATTTGTTTTTATTGTTGCCTCTACCCTGCAGGGTCATTGGCAACACTTCCTATTTATATTCTATTGCAGAACTTTATTATTTTTAAAAATTGTAAGGTTTTTTACATGGTTTTCGTTGTCACTGAGGTTTTCTTTTAGGCTCTGAGCCATATCGAGATTTTTCCTTACTTTCTGAAATACTGGCAGTCTTCAATTAAATTTATATTATTGCTTATTTCGTCGGTACTATAGTCCTAGAATGGATTTTAGCATCACAGTATGCATCCCGGTCAGCGTTCTGTTTTCATCCATTTATTACAATCCTTGCCAGATCACCCTACAGGTCATCCAACCACCCTCTCTTTCTTTTCCCCAATAAGTTTTCTCTCATTATTTTCTTCATCGTCCTATTATCTCCCATTATCTGTATGATACTGAACCAGCTAATTCCTCCTTTTTTTATGAAGCGTAATATATTCTCATGCTTTATTAAATCTTCAAGTTACTGATTAATTCTAATGCGCCACACCTTGGACGCAAACCGACCAAAAATAGACCTCAAAATCTTTCTTTCACAGAAACTAAGAATGTGTCGATCACTAACTTTCGGCATCCATGTTTCTGCGATATAACAAACAGGTCTGACAAGCTATTTGTAATCATCATGATAACTTAAGTGACCTGTCCATTTGATGAGGTTTGCAAGACAGTAATTCGCTATTTTTCCAATTATGATCCTTTTCCTGATCTCTTCCCTTATCTTGTTTTCACAATTAATATATACTCCAATGTACGTATAGTGCTCAACTGCTTCTAATGTTGTATTATTTAACCGGAAATTGGCCGACGTTTTTGCATCAGATGCAAACATAGCCATATACTTTGTTTTTGTTTCATTTATCTCTAGGCCAACATTTTTACGTTCAGGCACTATTTTAGTAAGAATTTTCCTTATTGCTCGTTCACTTCTTCGCCATCTCAATATCTGGGAATTCGTGAAGTCTGGATTAGCAGCTTACTCTAGGAGGCCCAAAAAGGACCGTTGAAACTGCGTAAACGGTAAAGTATCTTTTGCTTAGATTTACAGGCCGCCTAAAAACCACTACTAACTTCTTTGATTTTTCACGCTACCAATTACTTAACCACCTCACCAGCTTCCTGACTCATATTCACTACCCAGTTTAACACATCTTTAACTCACCCATTACCGCCTTAGACGAATACCCTAGTTATAATTTCTCTCTTAAATCGACTATAATTATATTATATTATAAATGACTATATTTATTTACATTTTTATTTGATTAAGTACCCTTAAATATACAAATTTTAATTTCGTAATTTAATCTATACTATCTATGTGAAACAAATATTATAAAACATAAAAATATGGAATTTTTTTTTATTTTAATGAAATTTACAACTTTATTACATAGAAAATACAGTAAGTAAATGTAACATTGGTAGAACTCAAATTAAAGTTCTATATTAGAAGGTCCCGAGGCCATCTTCTTTTCAGACGCCTCGGAGGGTTATCAGGGATCGAGGAGGAAGCAAGGTTTGAAACGAGAGGATTCGGATGGTTCTGCAGTTTGCTATGGAAGGATAGGTATCTAGATTGGACCAAATCTGAAACATATGGAACATTAAGGTCTTTATGGATGATTTTATTTGTGACAAAGTAAGGAGCGCTGAGGATTTTGGATTGTAAGGATTGGATACGAGAGGAATTCGATGGTTTAGTGAAGCCCCAAAGCTCAATACCGTAAGTCCAAATAGGTCTTATTATTGTCATATATATGAGTCGTTTATAATTGATTGAAAGCTTAGAGCGTTTGTCAAGTAAGTGCTGCAGTAGTCGAAAACATCGGGCGGTTTCTAGTCGTTTTAGTCTTGCATGGGGGTTCCGAGTGAGTCGTTTGTCAAGGTGGAATCCTAAGTATCGGATTTGTTCGACAGGGATAAGTGGGCTATTGTTGAAGGATACTGTAGGACAGGAAGTCATAGGTTTACGACGAAGAGTGAAGGTAATTTGATGGGATTTATTGGAACTTATTTTAATCCTCAGGTTTTGACACCATTTTGCAAGACTTTTCATGTGTGATTAAAGAGTTTGGGATGCAATAGACGGAAGATTATTAACTGATAGGATACACGTGTCATCGGCATAGGTGGTGATGACAGTGTTGGGTTGGGTTGGGATGTCAGCTGTCTAAACTGTGTAAAGGATAGGACCTAGGATACTACCTTGAGGAACACCGGCAGACTGAGTAAAAAGAGATGAATAAGCATTGTTATGATTGACTTAAAAGTACCTGTCAGTAAGGTAGGAACGGATAATGAGGAAGTATGTAGGTGGTAGGAATTTACGGAGTTTGTACATCAGTCCCGGATGCCAGACTCTAACAAACGCCTGTTCAACGTCGAGAAAGACTCCCGTGCAGTACATTCCGCGCTCCAATGCAGAGGAGACTACATCTACCACACGATGGCATTGCTGAATAGTGGAGTGGGATGTGCGGAATCCAAATTGGTGATCTGCGATAATGTGTTTAGAGTCTAGGATGGGATACAGGCGTTTTAAAATGAGTTTTTCCAGGATTTTGCCCATAATGGGTAAAAGAGAAATAGGACGGTAAGAGGATGGGTGTTCTGGCGGCTTTATGGGTTTAGGTATCATTTTGACAATGGATAGTTTCCAAGAGTCAGGAAAATATGTGGTTCGGAGTACAGCATTAAATATATAGGTTAGGAACAGTATGGCTTTTTTAGGAAGAAATTTTAGGATCTGGAATGTGATTAGGTCATGGCCAGGAGCTTTGCGGGAAGGTAATCTATTAATGATATTTGATATTTCTGAAGGATGAAATGCTTTAGGTGGAGGAGTCAATTGGAGTGGGATATCCAATTCTGCTTCAATAAACTCAAGGTGGGTTGGATTAAGGATGTCTGGGTGTGGATTAAATGTTTTTGAGAGGTGCTGAGCAAATATTTGAGATTTTTCTTCGTCAGATCTGGACCAGGTTTGGGTTTCATTAATAAGTGGGTGGTTAAAATCTTTGTATTTAAGGAGCTTTTTAGTGGTCAACCATAATGATTTGTCAGAAGTAGTAAGTTTTTCTGTCATGTTAAGTAAATTTTGAACTTTATATTTTCTAATTTCAGCTTTTAGTGGGTTAGTTAATTTGTTGTAATATGTCTTATCTGATGGGTATCTAATTCTGTGCCACTTCGATCTTGCTCTGCGTTTTTCCCTTAATAAGATACGAATATGCTGCAGCAAATTTGTCTGTTGGGAGTTGTCAATTTTATTGGTAGATGTATTATCGTTTATTTTGTCACTTATAGATGTAGTAAGTACTTCTATGGCTGTGTCAATGTCACGTTTCATCTTAAGTGGAATATTTAGATCCAAAAAATATGGAAATAGAATAATCTTTATATCTAAAAGTAAGGGAAATAAATAGTTATAAAATATTTTTATGTTAATACTGTAATCCATTTTAGTAAACTTTGCAATTTTTTTAGTAAATTTTTGCAATTTTAAACTTTGCTATTACCTTTTTATTTTCTTCTTCCCTTGCCTCTCGGCAATACAGATTTTTGGTAGAAGTAGTTGATACTTTTACCACTCATCTTCAGGTTCTTGAGTCTTTGTTAGCGGAAGTTAAAGTGATCATCCCCGACTACTTCCTTCCATCCGTACACAAATGCTCCATAGTACGATTAGTTATGCCAAGTTACTAGCTGAGGGATATCGTCCTCCGTGGTGATGTAGAGTCCGGTTTCTCTCAGTAGTTTGGCCCGTATTGCTACAAAAGCTGTACAAATCGTGACAATATGCTCAGCAGTTCCCGGAACACCACAGCAGGGACATAGGTGGTTAATTTATTTTCCAAAGCCATGAAGTTTGGCGTGAAATCCTCCATGCCCTGTCAGGAATTGCGACACCCAATAGTCAGGGAGGACCCATTTCGCTTCCAACCTTGAATAGACAGTAGGAAAGTATTTCCTGAAGATAGAGCCTTTATGAGTAGTTACCCACCGTCGATTCCACTGCTCAATGGTACCCTCCCGTATTATTCTTTGCCATTTAGATGGATCTGCCGCAATTCTTTCTAGGAGATTTTCCGGAAGACTTGCTGAGCTTTCTTTCTTATGTACTAATCTGAAGAATAAGAATAATTAATCATGCCTTCTTGCAGGAGGAGGTCGAGAGATACCTCTCCTACTAATCTTAAGATTAAGAATAATTAATCTTGTCTTCTTGCAGAAGGAGGTTGAGATATATCCCTCCTGCTAAAACCTGAAGTGATTTCCTGACATCATATAGTGCCATCCCTTGTGTAGGAAATTAAGGATAGTGAGTGCTGAAGAGTTGAAAACTGCCAAATAGTTAACAAAGCCTCATTTGTTTCCTGAAGTGATTTCCTAATATTAAATAGTGGCTTCTCTTGTTTGTGTGAAATTAAGGATAATGAGAGCTAAAGAGTTGAAAACTCAAATTATAAAGAACTCAGTGGAGAAATTTATTTACAACTTTAGATACTTCAGTAGAAAAGAAAATAATCCCGAATTAAAAAAGGAATTCAGAAAACTAGAAGCAAGA